ACAAGAGCCCTCATTGGTCAATTCGCAATTAAATGCCTATGCCGAGCGGCAGAGCAGTCGTATCAAGGCAGAGTCACATTCAGGTTCAGACGTGTTACGTATGTCGTGTGCATCATTGCAATTTGATATTTCTTTGGACGTTTTCGTTTGTTATCTTATTAACTTGTTGAGTTTGTCGTTGTTATTGTTATACCTTGTTATTGATTGTTATTGTTATCAACTGCTTGCGCAAAATGCCCAGTAGTACAGATACTGACGATGAAGTTGTAAACTCCTGTAGTCCACCTAGGAAACGCTCTAAAAAGAGACTCCTGAGTGCAGAAATGAAAGAGGTCATTTTGAATATATATAAGATCGAGCGCGAGGAGAACGAGGCATCAACTATCAAAGAAATTGTTGTGAAGGTTTCTCACAAAGTTGGGGTGTGTCGCGCATCAGTGTTTAATGTGTTAAGACAATACAAAAAAATCACACCTTTTCTGAGCCAATGACCAGTAAGCATCGCAAAAGTATTGTTAAATCATTGGATGAAGCTGATAAGCATGCGATTAGGAGGAAAGTGCATGAATTCTTCTTTAGGAATGAAATACCTACTATAGATAAAGTACTGCAGGAGGTAAATGGAGATACAACGTTGCCAAATTTCAAACGATCAACTTTCCATGCGTTACTGAAGCATTTAAATTTCAAATGGAAAAAACGGGGTCGTAATAGTTTACTACTGGATAGAGAAGAAATTGTGCTATGGAGGAGGGATTATTTAACAAAAATTGGGAAATATAGAAATCAAAACGTTACAATTCTTTAAAAACTTTCAAAATATTCTCATTCTGCGTCGATGCAGCGCTGCCAGCGCGATTTCCAAGCATTGAAGGCGTCACGGAAGGCATTCTCCGGAATAGCCTTGAGAGCCGCGGTGCATGCTGCTTGGATCCCCTCTGTCGTCTCAAAATGCTTGCCTTTCATGGGCGTTTTCAGGCGAGGAAACAAAAAAAAGTCCGGGGGCCACATCTGGGCTGTAGGGCGGTGGAGGAAGCGTTGGGATGCCGGCCTTGGTCAGGTAGCTGTTCACAAGGTGGCGTTTTAACCCGGGGCGTTGTCTTGGTGCAATTTCCAGTCAGCTGCGATGTCTTGTCGGGCCCGACTGACCCTTCGTTTGAGTCTCCTGAGCACTTCCACGTAAAACTTGGCGTTGACAGTTTGTCCAGGAGGAACAAATTCATGGTGGACGATGCCTTCGATGTCAAAAAAGACAATGAGCATCGTTTTCACTTTGGATTTGATCAGTCTTCCCTTTTTTGGGCGAGGAGACGCCGTCGTGTGCCACTCGGAAGATTGCCTCTTTGTCTCGGGATCATACTCAAAGATCCACGACTCGTCACCTGTGATTACGTTATTGAAAAATTGGGGGTTTTATGCTTTCGAACTACTATAGACTGGACACACAATCAAACATTTTTTAGAGCAGTAATTCATTTTCTGTGTGAAATTTTGACAACTGCATTCAGGGTTAGCTACATAAAAGGTGCTAAAAATTAATATGACTGTGCATGATCCTAGCGGGTGGGAACTCGTTCAAGGGTAGACTTATAGTATAAGCCTTCCAGCACTTTCCATAAAAATGTAAGTCACTTTTTGGATCATTTCATATCGAACCCTGCAAGGAAGACTATTGTAACTCAGTTTTGTTTGAACTGAGACACAGGCATAAAAGATTTTCTGATGAATTTCGTTGCCAGAAAAATGACGATCTCATCAAAAATATGTTGTACATTGCAGTAATTCTTGGATATAGAAGGTTATAAATGGTATTACAATAGAAACCTAGCGAAAATGACCTTTTTGTTTTAATAAATTTTGTTGTCTTACTATAGTTTTCGTTGGATCAATTAAAGAAAAAAGTACACTTGTTCTAGACTTAGTAGGATATTTATTGCAATATTGCAGTATTTTTCAAACAAATGGTCGAGAACAACCTCTTTAATGCCAATCTGAGTCGCTCAAATTATATACTAAGTGACATATAAATCCGAACACCCAGTTTGAATGGTTTTATTTTAATAAAAGTTGGTGAATGTATGTATCTTATCTATCACTAGGTCCTCCCTTTAACTCGAGAACACCGAAGTAATCGCCTTGAGTGGTGCAAACAACGGTCACTCTGGGATCAGGAATGGAACAGTATTGTCTTTAGTGACGAGTCTCGATTTTGTTTAGGCATGCACGATGGTCGTGCCAGGGTTAGAAGGCGACGAGGTGAAAGGAGGAATCCATAGTTTTTTTGTTGAAAGACATGTTCATCACACTGTTGGAGTTATGGTTTGGGGTGCTATAGCTTATGGTTCCAGGTCACCTTTAATCTTCATCAGAGGTAACATGAACGCGCAGCGTTATATCCACGAAATTCTAGAACCCCATCTTTTACCCTATCTTGACACCCTGGCAGATCCAACTTTCCAACAAGATAATGCCCGACCACATGTTGCAAGAGTCACAATAGACTTCTTCCAACATAATGATGTCACATTGTTACCATGGCCACCAAGATCTCCCGACTTATCCCCAATTGAGCACGTGTGGGATATGATGGGTAGGAGATTGCTCAATTTGCAACGTCCTCCTCAGACTTTAGAAGCACTTCGAGATGAGTTGGTGGTTGCCTGGAATGAGATACCACAGGAGGACATTGACCACCTGATCAGAAGCATGCCTACGCGCGTTGGAGAATGCGTAGCACATCAGGGTGCATCCACACATTATTAAAGGTCAAAGGGCTTTAAAGCAGTGCAATCATTTTGAAATTTTTATCATCTACTTATTATGCTTCATTAAGTACTTATACAAAATTTTATTAAATTAAAACCATTTAAACTGGGTGTTCGGATTTATATGTCACTTAGTATATTTTATATTCTATTTTCTTGCAAAATACAGACAAATCCACACTATTCAACAGGTATGTAGCTATAATGATAACACATAAACACTCAGTATATTGAACTTAACAAATTCGAGATTGTCATGCATTAACAAACGTCCAAACCTGCTGCTAAATTTAACAGCTAGAAAATGACCTATTATTTGCCGCATCCCCATTGGCTTTGGGGATAACTGATTGTTAAACGTAAATTTATAACAGAAATCAAAATAAGTACATTAAAGTTGTCCTGTTTTCTCTGTACAAAAGCATCATGTTGGAATCAAGAAGTGGTCTTGTTTATAATACAGTCGAATTTTCACGATTTTATTCAATATTTTAATAGAAATCACTGATATTCAGGGACATTTGACAGCTTCCGTCAAATTGCATTTCGATAAGGTATTTTCCCATTGGTCCAAGGGACCGTCAAATATTAATGATGGTGAAATTGGCCCTTAGTCACTCAAATTATCTCTCGGTTCTCCACTATCATCGTTCTCAACTTCAGTATTTTCAGCGCTGTTAATATGTCCTCTTTGTATTTTTTATCTTCCTTGGCTTTTACGGAAAAATTAAAAGTAGCTAAGATTCAGGAATGCTAGGAAGACTGTGTGCCTTTGATTTACATAGGTCTGATAAACCATTTAATTTTTTAGCATCTACTGGAAGCAAGCTTGTGTTCAGCAAAGGTAATCCCTGAAGCGTACTGTTTTGCGGTCTCATTCCGTGATAATCAATGTTAGTATCGTGATATCATCAGCATAGTCACACTTATATTTCATTTCACGAGGCACGTATCTTATTTATTTTCCACTTTTCTCCACAATCGTCTTTGTACCAATTTTCCGACTTTACCTTTTATTTAAAACTAATGGACCCACGACCAACCGCAGACAGGGCTCGATATGTAACGTGATCACACATGATGATGTATTTTCTAGATATGGTTTAAATGTATGAAATGCTTTTGGAATTGTAAAGCAAAATAATAACCATAGTTAATAACGTAATAATTGTTAAATTAGGTATACATAAATACAATAATGTTTGCTTGAACCTTTGGATTCGGTTTAAAATATACTTAACTCGAAAAAACAACCGGGAAAAATTACGTATTACAAAAAAATATTGCTTTTATCTGTGAAGCTTTACATTCAGAGGAAAAAACCGTATACTTATTTAGAAGATCGTCTCTAATATATTACGAGTATATGGACGAAAATAAAAAACATTTCCCGTTTCGCCTATAAACAATACTAAAACCACCCTTCATCAAATCATTTTATTTCCAATCGATTGTCAACCAGAAAAGGAAAGGTCATATACACACAATTTCACGACATCCCAGAATTATTCAATCATCAATAATTAAATAATGTATTGATGACCTAGATTCCAGCTTTTCAAGATGATTTTGTCCTGTTATTTTTCAATTTTCAAAAGGTTTACAAGGATATTCCTTTTTGCTCTTTTCCCGCGTTTTGCGGGTTATATTTGGTTAGTTATCCTTTTCCATAAAAGAAATATTCCTGACTTTTCTTTGAAGCATTGTAGGTGGATCTCCAAGGTCTTCCGGCTAAATTAAACCACTTTTTACTGACGTTTCGGCCATTACCGTGGTCTGTTTCAAGGCAAAAATATTGACAGTAAATTCTATTGATGACAATATATTTTTCTTTGAAAAAAGCCACCCGCCAGCGCGGTAAAAACTAATTTATTTAATACATACTGATGTGGTTTCATTTGGCCAGATCTCATGGAGATCTGTCAACACGAACACCACAGGATAAGTTTCAAGTGTTCTATGGATATAAATGTAAAATAGTTTAGCATCAATATCATACATCTTTTCATCCGCTTGGCAAGGGTGGCAAAGCTCGAGCATAACTGACATTTCTATTTTCTCATTTCAGCATCAAGTTTTTAAAATTATTCTGGCAAACAAGTAGCTAGCTATGAACTCTGCGAAAACAAAAGACAATCGACCCTTCCACATTTGTTTCAATTTCAACAATCAGTTCCATTCATGTTTCCAAAAAGGGTAAATCCCAAAACATGAATGAAGAGATGCTCCCATTACCTCATCCCACTTGATGAATTTCTCGCCGTTTTGCAACGCCTCGGGGACCTGGAGCGATTTGAGGGATACAGCGTTAGTGGAGCCCGGCAGGGGGGCGGGCCTAGTGACAGGGGCCGCGGACATCCTGGTGGCAGGCTAGTGAATACCACATCGCGATCGAGAAGGCCAAGGCCGTACAGGCAGCCCCTCCGAATCCGCCTCGACAACTCGCATGTCTCTCATATCGCGTGGTCACGGTTTCATCTGCACGGAGCGGATGTAGATATGTACCGCCGTCACCTTTACACAACAGATTCCGAATACGTATCTGGCAACTCGCGCTGCTTACCCGCTACACTTCGCAGTCGAAGCTGTTGCACGACAGCGTTGCCGGATACTCGAGCAATTCAGGTTTCTGGGTCTAGCCGCACACATCTGTGGCGTAACCACAATGCGTTCCGGGTTTCCAGGTTCCGTCTAAGGCCGGTATCGTCAGTCGTCCCTACAATTGTAGTGCGCGTTTATGGCCTCCTTGATTGTCATACTTCTTTCTCTCCTTCAAACATTTCTAGATTACACTTGTCCGTGTCAGCATCAGCGCTCGCCTATTCTGAAGATATGTTTTCTTTTTAAATTGTAGGAAATTTCAGGCTGATAAAACATGATATAACTCAAAAGCAAGCACAATTTGATGCAAATCGATGTTTGTGCCATAACCTCAAAATAGAGCGCTGACACGGAGAAGTAGAGGCAAGGAGGCCATAAAGGTTCCCTACAATTGTAGGGACGACTGACGATACGGGCCTTAGGGATTCGCAAGATTCAAACGATCGACTTGGTATTTTTTTCAAAAGGATAAGATCTTGAGAGTGGAATGAATGATATAATTATCATAATAAAGTGTCAGAACATAGGTATATGGGTGTTTCAAGTTCGACCCCCACCATTGGAAACTATAAGGGCTATTAAGAGGTCATTTAAATGGAGGCAAAAGTGCGTATTTAGGTAACTAACAAAATCCCGCTCAGTAAGTTTCGGAATTCAAAGTACTTCGGAGAGAGATGGAAAAACCGAATTTTCCTACAATGATTTTGATTATTTTTCCACATCAACATTGCAACTTTTTGTCCTCTACAAAATGGTGTAATTAGAAATTCAAGATGACGTTTCGTATCTTGTCCTCCAGCATTAACTTTATTTTTTATTATCGACGCCTTATTGAATCTTTGCACAGATGAATAGAGAATTTAAATCTAATTCCTAAAACGAAATTGTGTCGTACGCTGTGTGGCATGTCTATTGATTTTGGGGATCGATATTAGCTCGGATATTGGAGGGATGAATAATAAATTTTGATGTTTTGTGAATGGTTTTGGCAAAATTTGATCAGAAAGGATATCCGCACGAGTAAAAAACCTATAAAACGCCAATAAAAACTATAAGATGTCAACTTGCAGACTAGGTAGTTTTTAGGCCGCAAACTGTCATTCCACGTTTGCTCACTAGGACCGCTGTGAACGTCCATCTATGAAGGAATCACTCAACTAAACTACGCATTATTGGTTGCATAGTTTTGTGAGGCTTAGTGATCCGGGTCTGTAGTTTTTATCTCTGAGAAGAAAGTTGGTTGAATAGCAAGATCGCATCTGGATGATTATGTGTATTTGTCTGCATGTGTATAAAATCAGTGATATTTGCTGTGTGAGAAAATCATTACTGAATATGACTGGTTATTTATATGTTGTGCTTTCTGAAGAAAGGTTATGTTCAAAGTTATAAATTACGAAAAACTGAGGAGAATGACGGAAAATCATCACCGCGCCCGCGTTGTGTGTAATTACTGTTAGCTTGTAATTCGACAGTGTACAGTGAATATAATTATTTCTTATCTCTCTCATTTTTGAAATTCAGCAAATTTTTATATGTAATCTCCAGATTGGATAAGAAATAGTAGATGCGCAACTAATTTCTAGCTTTGAATCTCAATTAAGCGTATTTGAGACAAGAACCGAATGTAATTATCATCAACACATACAACTTACAGCTTAGACTTCCAGTAATGCCATCTCAGAAGCAGATTTTACATCACATCAGAGCCAAAGATTGATAACAAGCCTCGTGACGGTTAGGCAACACGTACAACTCAGTGCTAAGTTAACATCTTGTAGAATAACCTACATAATGTCAAAAAAAATAGCATAATGTCAAAAAAAATCGGCATAATGTCACTCTTCAAGATACGTGATACCCGTGCCCGATAAACGTGTCGTTATTCACAGGCATTTATTTTGCGATATCAAGTAAAAAATACAAATCAGCTCCTAGATATTTGAGGCACTGCGAAAATGTTTTGTATGATGCGTCATTACTAATTTTTCTGTGATGTGACTTAACCACACATAACGCAAGCGCAGTGGTTATTTGCCGTAACGCTTCTCAAAGTTTTTAGAAACGCAAAAGGCTTTGAACATAACCTCTCTTCAGAAAGGACAACCCAAATAACCCGTCTGGTACAGCTAATAGATACACTTCACGAGCAGAATGTCCAGTAGTAATTTGCTCACATAGCAAATATCACTGCTTTTATAAACATCCAGCCTAATACACACAATCATCCAGATGCGATCTTGCTACTCAACCAACTTTTTTTCTGACAAATCTCAGAGATATACGCTACATACATACTTGGCATTCTGCAACCAACAAAGCATGCTGGGAGACTGACTTGCATAGTGTCGTGTCGTTGAGTCATTCCTCCATAGATGACGCTCACAGCGGTCATAGCGAGCAAACGCTGAATTAACTAGGAACTATCTAGTCAGCAAGTCGACATTTTGTCGGTTTTTTTATATTACAAGTTTTTTTAATGTAGGCACAGGCATACGGTAAAAAGACGGAATCCTCCCGACTGTATTTCGCTCGACTGAGCTTGCCTCGATGACCATAGACCTTAAATTAATGACAGTCTTTTCGCTTTTCAATTGAGTACCTAATGTTATTTTCCAATGGAAGTCTTCTTTATATTATATTTGACTCCATAGGCATATTCTGCGACGTCATGTATTAGATTAAGTAACGATTCAATCAATCAAAATGTTTTAATCAATGTGAGTATCGCCTAAAAACAAATATTTTTAACATGTTCTTTTCTGTGGGATATTAATTTTCTACAGTTAACAAGACCAGGAAACTATCCTTGATCATATGGCAACATCGCACGACGCCTATCGCCCAAATCAGCTGTCCGCATGCCCACAATCTCGATTTTTGCAGTTATCCCTCATTTGTAGACTTGTCACTTTCAAAAATTTTACGTGTCCGTCAAAATAATGCAGTTTTGATTTATCTCATTTAGAAGGAAGATCATGTTGCTGTTACCTCGCCTGCGTCTGATCACATTTGATGTCACAGACACTCTGTTAAAATTTCGCAGGACAATCCCCGAGCAGTACGGGCAGGTTGGCGCTTTTTACGGGATTCAAGTGGACCGTGGAAAGCTAGCCGGGAATTTTAAAAAGCATTGGGCGCGCATGAACAAAGAATATCCGAATTTCGGACTGAAAACTTCTATAGGATGGGAGGATTGGTGGAAAATGCTCGTCAAAGGTAAAATTATTGTGTAGGATTTTCAAAAATAATCAACACAACTCATCTTCAATTCTTTCTATTCATACATATTTTGATTATGATTCTGAGAAGGTAGGTCAGCGGAAAGACATGCGTTGTACGTGCCCCCTCATCTCCATCGATTTCCATAGGCGTAGCTGAATTTTTTTCCTAAGGGAAACAGAGCGCCGACGATCGAGTCCTCGTAAAATTGTTCATTGTTTACTAAATTATGTAAATGTTGAAAATTGTTTGAGAGGAGTCGGGCCTTATCGAATATTTACTGTGAGAAAAGTTAAAAAAGTTATTGAAACACTTTGTGGTGTAAGGAAAAACGATTGAGGTACGGATGTTAACGAAATTCGAAATTTTTTATTTGTTCTTATTAAAGAGCAGTTAGCATTTTGAGTTTCCTAGTGAACATCATTTTAAAAGTAAAATGTAAAATAAACACTAAATGGCCTTATTCTGTGGTAAATACAAATGTTTTCAATGGAGTAAATTTATATTATTGATGTATATAATGAAAATCAGTTAAAAATTCGAACTCCACAGCCCTATATAGCGTCAAATACACTAGCGGCGCGCGGGTAGCGAGAAATTCTAAAATATGATCTCAAGAAATTAGAAAAACTGCAAATTTCAAGATCATCCGCACCTCTGTCATTTCTTAAGGACCCACAAAGTATGTTTCAACAGTTTTTTAAAATCTTTTTGTGCGTGATCTCGAATGCATTCAACTACCTTGCGCAAAAATGTTTAGAAAATTATGCACTGTCAGACAAAATTATTTCCTACCAGAAAATTCGGGATACTAGAAGATCCTGGATCCGCTAAATATGTGCCCAATGAAGGCAGAGGAATAATTGTATTTACATAGAACTCGGTTATTTTATTTCGATTCCATGTAGATAGGGTGAAAATGGCGGCTCTGTTGGGAAAATATTTCTATAAGATTATATGTGTGCTTTTGAGGATTACTATAATAAGGGACCGACATGCTACAAACAAAAAATCATTCCAATACCATATAATATATAAAAAATACCCAATCGAATATTTTATTGACTCTTTCGCTCATGCGATGTTGATAACGTAATATTCATGTTGAGATGTTTTCAAACCCACCTTCGTGATAATTTGTATTCACGTTTTCTCTCCCTAAAAATGTGTTTTTTTCTATTTTTCTATACATCGATGTATTTGTTCCGATGTATCGATTTTGCGATAGCGATGTTTGTCGATGTCCAAACATCGATGTTTTCTAACAAATTGCCATCCCTAGACATGATGACATGTCAACGGATCCAAATTCGAGTAATTACTAGAGGTGCTGACAAAGTAACCAATCGTTACTCGAGTACTCGTTACTCATAGATACCCGAAGAAACGGGTAAGATTCCCAACACCAAATGGTTACTTCTATTACAAAGATATACAAGTTTATACCTATGTACAATTGCAACATCAATGGTCCACGTACAGGCAATGCCTCCTATGGGCCGTTACTTCATATTTATTTACTCATTCTTTATATTGTGTTCTAGGAGTAAATAATAATAATTATCATTATTACTCAGTTTTAGCTTTTTGTTCCCGTACGTATAGAATCGTTGATCGCTGAGTGGCAACGCTGGTTTCTGCCATCTCAGGCATCACTGTAGCTCTGCCGCTCATGCATCAGGGTTGCCAGACATCCCACAGTCGGGTGGTATGTGTAGAATAAGCGCCTTTTTTTTCATACTGGTACATGATTAATTGAAATGCCCAAAGCTTCGATAAATTACTTATCTTTCCGAATTTCCTCAAGCCCAATATACGGAACAACTTTCTAACGAAAAGACATGCTTTTGAAGCATTTCTAGTAAATACATATATTATCTGTTATAAAATTTTAAGACACGATGTCTGCAATAGGCACGGCAGATTTAAATAAATTGTGCAAGTTTTAAGGTTGTTTATTTTCTTACAAGACAACTTACCAAACTTAAGCATAATATAGTTGTTCTTGACTTTAGTCGTTAATTACACGCTTAGTAATCAAAATAACGGATACAATAAATGATTACTTTGTAGTAACGAATAATCGAGAGTAATGAGAATCGGCAACTCAGGTGATCACCAGCCGAATTTGTATGCATCAATATACAGATAAATCCAAGTATCACTGACGACGAAATGTGTATGAGAGAAGCGTTTCTCTTTGGTAGACATTACGACGTCACTGGCTTACGAATTTCATTATATGATGCACTTTTCGTTGTGCATGAGTGATGATAGAACGTGTAACTTAGGTACTTTCAACGACTCCAACATCACCGTCAGCGATTTTGACGATAAGATGTTAGAGGCTGTGGCGTCACACCTGATCGCAGCCTACAAGACTCCGGCATGCTGGCAGCACTCGCACGGCGTGCTGGACCTCTTATCCTACATAAAAAATCGTGCCGTTCCGATGGGAGTCCTCTCGAATTTCGATCCTAGGCTAGGAGAGACTTTGAACAACTTGAAACTTAGACATTACTTCCAGGTAAGTTTCCACACGCTTCATTGGATTTTATTACAGAAGTGAAGTATAATAATTTTACCACTTTTTCGCCGTTTTTCTTGTAATACCATATTCTCATTGGTTATCAATAAAGCCCACCTTGTTCATTACTGCCCTGAACAATTTTGCTTGTGCTAGTATGGTTGGAGGTCAAACTGTCAAAGGTAGATTTGACAGAAAGGTAACCCATTTTTCACGATACTTCATCGCATTTTGACGTCCGTAGACGTGAACAGCTGATCCAGTACTGTCTTTTTCACGAATATTTATTGCAGTAGAATTGCAGCTGGCTATCTAGTAATATTTCAAAATTCCGTAGGGACAACAATAAAGACATTTTCCTCATTTTGCCTATATTTTGATACATCAATTACACAATATTCAAATCATCAGATTTTTTTTTCAACATTATGGGAAAACAGTTTTAATCGTAATTATTTATGTTTGCAATAAGTAACCTATTTTTTCTTTCCCTTCTTTGATCCCTGATCTTTGCTCTGATGTATTAATTCCTTACCATCCTTAGCTGGTTGCCATTTTATTGGTTTCCTCCTGTACATTGGCCATGGTGGAATTGTTAGCTGAAATAACAATAATAGTCAAATTGGGATAACCATTTGATACCTATTATGCAAATGATGTGTGTTTTTCAGAAACAAAAAATATATGTGTAACCTTCAGGTAGTTTTAAAATACCTTCCTCACCTTAAAAAGCCTTCCTCACTGCTTTTGGTGTCTATCAATAAGAATGTGGGTGCTGTGGCATCTTGTAGAACTTCCGATTTCACTGTTTTTTTCCACTTAAAACTTTTAGAGGGTAGTCTGATAGATTATTTAGAAACAAAAAAAGTGGGGATGAAGCACGCTTTTCATGAAATTTTTTTGTCTAAACACTATTACTATTTTTAGCTGTTATTTCCACCGCCCTCTATGTAGACGTCTGTGCATATGTCATATTTGAGAGGCGCTTGCCTGCGGTGTTGCCGGATTGGGCTCCGCATTTAAGGAAAAATATGAAAAGTGGAAAATTTATATACATATACATATTAATGAGTCACAAAAATGAAAAACAACAGTAGCAGAATAAAAGACGATTCCTAATAAGTATAAATAAAAAATAACAGTAAGCTAAAAAATGATCAATTATAAATAATTATAAAAAACAAAAAATAAAAAAGTAGTAAAACAAAAAAAAACAATGAATGAAATGAAAAACAAAAAATAACAAACGGTAAAATAAAAGCAAATCTAAGTGATGACAAAAAATAACAGTAGAAAAAAAAGCCCATGTAATTATAAGAAACAAAAAATAACAAAGAGTTGAATAAAAAGCAATTCTAAGTGACAAAACAAAAAGTAAAAACAGTAGTAAAATGAAAAACAATTTCATTCCATCCAAATGGCTTTTTATTTTACTGTTTGTTATTTTTTGTTTTTATATTTACATGGAATTGTTTTTTGTTTTACTACTGCTTCTTTATTGTTTTTTATAATCACTTAGTATTGTTTTTTATTTTACTGCTGTTTGTTATTTTTTGTTTTAAACTTAGCAAGAATAACTTTTAATTTTACTACTGTTGTTTGTTTCAGTTTTTTGTTTTTATATTTCATTAATTAATATAAATGTACATAAATTTTCCACTTTTCATATTTTTCCCTAAATATCTAGCCCAATCGGGCAACACCGCACGCAAGCGCATCTCATCTATGACATATCCACAGATATCAATGTCATATGGTAGATGGCTCAGGAAATAATGGGGGGAAATAATTGCTAAAAAATAGTGTTTTGGGAAAAAAATTTCATGAAAAGCATGCTGCATCCACACTTTTTATGATTTAGAATAATCTATCAGACTACCCCCTATAAGTTTCAAGTGAAAAAACAGTGAAATCTGAAGTTCTACAGGACGCAACAGTACCAAGAATTGTTCAAGTGATAGACCTTTATGAACAAACAATTATATTGCAACTAAGACCATAATAGGGAATATCCATGTGATTCAGATAATAACAATAAATTATTCACATTAATTACAAATTGTGAACAAATTGATATGTCACAAAAGGAAAATATTGGATTACTATATCAGACAGTATCTGATAGTCTGAAGTTGCTTCTAATAAATAACTGATCAAGTCAATATTGATTTCTGGTTTACCACCTGGCTAACAATTATCCATCAATTAATGAACCAATTTACATAAAAGTATAAGTAAATATCCATTATTAAACTCACAATCAGTGATAAGGCAAAACCAATTCCTAGAATATAGACAGTTTGTGAAAACTGTTGGATAACATAGCCCCATATCACACCAACAACTCCAAAAACTGTTATGATTATCCTAGATAATTTCTCAGCTCTGGCTTGGCCCTCGTAATCCTGCAAAACGATTCATTACGGAGGTTTCGGAAAATATAGGTGATAATGTTTATTTTATCGAAAATCGCAAATTATCTGAAGATATTTTGTGCAAAAAAGCATGCTCAAAGTATGAAAATCTGACATACCATATGTGTAGGAATGTTTTTGAAAAAGTCCATTTTGTGCAGCACTTACGTCCCTTATTTTATTGGTAATCACAGGAAAAATGCTTGCAAAATTATGAATTGTAGGATGTTATCTGCTCATCTGTAAAAAATGATTGTTTACGTGTCTTTGATTGTCACCTACCTGACAGTTATATAGCCTTGAGAGTTCACTTTTCGTTACGTAACTAGCTCTGCTTCACTAATAGTCTAGTCGACAATGAACTAAGCCTAACACATTATTAATTTTTTTCTTATTACTTGTCACTAAAATTTCGTGAGACTGTTATCGTTTTATTCTTGATGTAAGACTACCTCATTGTCAAAAAAACAAGTTGATGAAATTATTTTTTCTGGCTGTAACACTTCTAATGTCACTGAGTATATTATTTCTGCGAATTCGGACGATGTCCTGAGCGGTTTTCTATCTGTATGCTTCTCTACAAAGCGATGTAGGCAATAACCTTACTTCTCATTTTCAGTTCGTTCTATCCTCGTACGAGGTAGGCGTCGAGAAACCCGATGGAAAAATATTCGAAGAAGCAATGACATGGTCTAAACTGAAGAACCTTCACGGGGATGAGTGTCTTCATATCGGTGACAACCCTCGAGCGGACTATTTGGGCGCCAAAAACGCTGGTTGGCAAGCGGTACTGATCCTAGACGACAAAAAGCCTGAGACTGTGTTAAAAGCACACCCTGAGATTGATCCAGCAGATGTTTTCCCTAGCTTGTTTGAATTAGTCAAATATCTCATGGAGAAGTCGAAAAGTGAAGTAGTGTCCTCCCAGGTGTCAATGACATAATAACGTATATCTGACATGTCATTATACGCTGTTCTTCTGTTTTTTGAATAAAGAAAATCAACGAGAACTCATTGAGTTATCCCACGTAAACCGTGTTATCATGTCTATATTTCCAGTTATAATTTGGGAAACAATAATATAACTAACCCTGTGCTCAGTTTCAGAGTGTGGTTCTTTGTACTTTGGTCATACAAAGGGGTGCCACCTAGTTCCAAGAACTAGGAAAAATAAATAACAAGTAGTGCCTATCAAAACTTAAACTGACTGCCAAATGATGGGTCTCTGGAGCTAAATGAACACAAATTCACAAGGCACACAAACATTATTGAACAAAAAAAGAAATTTAAAAGAAGTCCTGGGAGACAAGAAAAAGAAAATCACCTTAGTAGTTGCTTGGCTATTACAGAATGGTGGGATTGAGTCCTATATAAAATATCTGGACGAGGGCAGTATAAAGAGCCGTCCACCACATTCGTCAACTATGCTCTCGTCGTGAACCCTACACCAAGAAGAAAACTCTAAATGCACTTACATTTAGTATGCATCAGAGCCTCACGTTATTATCAATTAAGTAATAATACTTAGATATACTAATCTTAAAATACTCCTCGTAGTCTGCGAAATTTAACTTGACACATGGCAACCTCAAAGACGATAACTCTAACCCGCGTTTTAAAGAGTTGAAGATCGACATTTTTAAGGTTTAATCGCTTGTTACATGAAAACGTTTAAGTAGAGAAAAATTGCTAATTTTTTTTGACCACAACAAAATAAGGCAATCTTGATATTACGAGCTCAAAGCTAACACAGAACTAGATGACTATGCATGACTTACCTAATTTGCTGCGAAGGCATTCAGCCCAGAAAGATCGGAAGAAAGCACAACATCCAACGTGAAAATACAAAGAGATGCGCCACTCACATGTCACATTTTTACACACAATAACACTCCACTCATCATCATGACACTGCGGAAAACCGCCGACAAAAGCTTCTAACAGAAGCAGAGCGTTGCAAGGAGGTCTCGACCACAATCCTCCACGAACGCCAACCGAGAACTGAATTGACGCGCGTACGCTCGCAGCGTATAGTAGTACGCCGGTACCGCTATCGTTGTTCTGCGTCGTCATTGGTCGGCCTTTAATCACGCCCACCACCCAATCTTTCTTGGGCGTTTACGTAAACATCAAGCGTGCGAATTACGAACTATGAGCGTGATCCCAAAGATACTGTTTTTTTAAATCTACAAAATCTCTTCGTTTCTGTTTGGACATAACTTCACTTGCAAAACGAACGCAACTATTGACTATTTTTTTTTTTTTTTTTTATCGAAACAGCCGCGCAGGCAGAAGCCTAAATGCCGGAACACCGCGGCTGCTATGATGATCCCAAAGAAATTTTGTTAATACGATTTTTGAACTGCCTAAGGTTAGTAGAACTGGGAAAAGCTTCCTTCCGTAGATTGTTCCACAATCTAGACACCCTCGGGACAAAGGAGCGGTCGTATCGGCCAGTTCTGGATGTACGAAGTTTGACACGGTTAGGATGGGACGCCGAAGTCAGGCGGGTCTGTCTGGCAGGCACATCACGCGGCGGCATCATGGAAGAGAGCTCTGAGGAGCAAAGGCCGTTGGTGTAGCGATAGAAAAGAGCTAGATTGCCGACGGCCCGCCGATGCGAAAGAGTCCCGAGACTGTCTGTTAGAGAAGAGTCGTCGATCAGTCGGACCGCCCTCCTCTGGACAGCATCGAGCATGGACAATGTAGTCGGGGCGGCAGCACCCCAAATGTGGGAGCAATACTCGAGGCTAGGCCTTATCTGGGCCTTGTATAGAGTGAGAAGGTCATGCGGAGAAAAGTACTTCTTAGCCCTAAACAAATAGCCTAGCTTTTTCCCAGCAGCTGCAGCTATTGAAGAGATGTGTTCGTGCCAGATCAGGTCCTCGGTGATATGGACTCCGACCAGCCGAAATGAATGGCTCTTTGGTAGAACTCGACCGTCCATCGAAACTGTATGAGCGCTAGGACGCTTTTTGTTCGTCAAAGTACAGTACTGTGTTTTGGAAGCATTGAACTGTACAAGATTGTTGCGTCCCCAAGCAGTGATAGCCTCCAGGTCTCTTGTCAGAGAAGAAGTCGTCGCTAGTCTTCTTTTTTCCAGCTCAGCGGCAGAGATCGGCTTGTCACTCTGAATTCCTGCATGTAGAGTGCTGTCATCAGCGAAGCTGTGGATTGGGTTGATCGTGCAGGAAAGGAGGTCGTTGATATGTAAGAGAAACAGTGTTGGAGCCAAGACCGATCCCTGGGGAACACCCGCGTTGACGTTGTGGGATGAAGAGGAGAATCCGTCAATTACGACGGATATCTTGCGGCCAGAGATAAAGTCAGCCACCCATCTGCAAAGCTTTTCTGGGAGGCCGTAGGATGGAAGTTTGCTTAAGAGGGCAGCGTGCCACAGCTGATCGAACGCTTTCGTGATGTCAAGAGCAACGACATGAGCCTCACCATGAGACTGGATGAGTTTACTCCACAGTTGCGTGACGTAGGCTAGGAGGTCCCCTGTGGATCGTTGGTGCCGGAAACCGTACTGCCTGTCGCTAATTAAGCTGTGACGTTCGAGGTAGTCCAGAAGCTCGCGATTTATGCACCTCTCCATCACTTTACTTATAACAGAAAGCAGAGCTATAGGCCTGTAGTTGTAGGGGTCGGTTTTAGATCCTTTTTTTGGGATGGGCTGTACATGAGCAAATTTCCAGTTTTCTGGGAAGGTGCCGGATTCATAAGATGTCTGGAAGAGACGCGAAAGAACTGGAGCAAGCTCCGCTGCACATCTCTTCAGTACAATGGCAGGAATCAAGTCCGGACCAGAAGCTTTGTTGATGTCGAGCGACAAGAGCACTCGTCTTACGGTCTTATGCCTGAATGTTACCTCCCGCATAGTGTGGGGAACCCTTTGAATTGACGGCACTTGGGCGTTGGTGGGGACGTCCATGGTGGAGTTGGCAGCAAAGATCTTGGCTAGCACTTCCGCCTTGGCCTTTGAGTCGAATGCAATAGTTCCATCCTGACACGTAAGTGGTGGTAGGCTACTGTGTGAGAAGTTCTTTTCAATCTGCTTGGCCAGCGTCCAGAAAGACCGACTGCCATTGCGCTGCGACATTACCCTGTGTCTAACTTTTATATCATGTTGGTTTTTGGCATTGCGAACCGCTTCGTTATATTTGTTTCTGGATTCGACGTCGGCTTGTCTGTTCTCTACAGTGGGGTTTTGTAAGTAGGTTCTGTGGGCCTTGATCTTCTGCTGGCGAGCAGTGTCACACGATTTGTTGAACCAGCCGTTGGACCCTGGTTTAGGAACTTTCACTGTGTGAGGGATGTATTCCTCCATTCCGACGTGGATAATTTCGGTTATTGAAGAACAGACAGTCGACGCATCCGCGTCAGTGAAACAGACATCTCTCCAAGGAAAGCTAGAGAAGAAGTCTCTGAGCCCCTCCCACTCGGCATGTCCGTAATGCCAAGTTTTGCGGCCTGTGCGAGTTTCTGCTGCCACAGCGGCTTCTGACCGAAACCTAACCTCCACAACACCGTGATCTGAGTTACCCAGGGGGGACAGGACAGCAGTGCTGTAAGGGGCAGGATGCGTGGTCAAAAAGAGATCCAGCAGGGGCTACTGGCGTATGACGAGACGCGGGGGAAAAAAGTAGGGCTCGTTACCAGCTGGGTCAGCCCTTGAGTAAGAGCGAACGCTTCGACTGCACGACCTGCTGCATCGGTCTTATTTGAGCCCAACCAAAGCTCATTATGGGCATTGAAATCACCGAGAAGAACTACCTCTGAAGCGGGGTGATTGATGTTCAGGAAGTCGATTTGGACGGCGAGGTATTCGAGTAGGTCACCCCAGTTATGGTTCGAGGGAGAGCGATAAAGGCAGCAAATAAATTTGGGTGATGTTTTGGAGTTGAGGCGAAGCCACAGAATGTCCTTCCGGTCTGATTCCAAAGAAAGATCCCTGGAGCAGGAAAGACTGCTGCGGACAAAAGCCACAACTCCCCCGTTCTTTCTCAGATTGGAGTGCACCTCGTAGTAGGGGAAGTTGAGATGGTTAATCGGTGCAGTCTCTGAGATTTTTGTCTCCACCAAGAAAAGCACGGCGGGACGATTGGATTGCAGGTAGTGATGAACAGCATCAATGTTGCTGTTAATCCCGCAGATGTTCGAAAAACAAATTTTATCTTCGATGTTGTTCCCTCGAGCCCACCCTCCACTCGGACATTCCGAGAGTGGAGTGAGTTTACGTCCGGAGTTTTTAGTGCTCGAGGGATCCATCATCATTAATTTCTTTGTTTTGGTAGATAAGATAACCGACTGCATAGCTTAGGTGTGGAAACATGCGGACATTTATAAGACACCCTGGGAAAAGCTAGCGGGTGGTACTGCCTCGGTCGACTGGTCCTTGTCTACCACCTTCTTTTTACGTGTTAGTGATGTTAAATAGACCTAAAGTGGCCCGTTGGCGGACTTGTACCGCCACCCGGCAATCGGTACTGAGGTATTCCTTAACGCGTGCACAATCACTTGGACGGGAAGAAGTTGTATACTGGATACAACAACTTCCGGAACAAGCATTTGCCACGGCCCTCGCTCAGTAGGGGGGGAACTATAACTATACTGCCTATGTGCCGCTGTTGACTAATAATTATTTTACCATGTGCCGCCTGCGGAGCTTAACTTTCCTAAGGGACGATCCTTAACGCAACTCATACTCACCCTTGCACATACGCATACATTTGGTGATAGAGGACCGTTGTTTTGATTTATTTTCCAAGAACACTCCAGGAAATAATTCTGTAAGCTTACCCACCTAAATTGAAAAATACCTATACCCTATTTCTCGAGTATCCATCACGGTAGAATGACAGCTGGTTATCTGGTAATATTTCAAAATTCCCCATATCGGCAAAAGACACAATTTTTGTACGCTACAGATTCATTTTGTACTTGCTAAAAACTCTTTTATTTAAAAAAATTTCTTTTGCATACAAAAGACAAAACGGTACAAACAAATTTTTGCAAGATTTAAAAATGTCGTTTACTGATCAGCTGTTCAGCTTAGTACATGTGAAAGCGTGATTGATACTCGTGAAATAGAGAATATAGAGTTTAGCTCGTTACGTAACGAGATGTTAGGTGAAGTTTGATAGGTATTCGATAGTTCTACTGTAAAATGTCATCGTCACCGGTTGTCATTTATTTACGTTTGTTTATAATCAAATGCATTCAAAAATTGAAATTTTCAACATAACTTCAATGAAAGTTTGAGTTAATTATGGATGATGACAATACGAATGGAGTATTTGGTTTAATAACAAAGCTTTGTGAAAAATTCTATAAGGATCCAGATGAAATAAAAGCAACTAGGAGTAGATGTTATGAGATCATTTTGAAAAAAAGGTTGCCGAAATACAAAAAACGTAAGGTCGACGCATTTTCTAAAACGAGATTCAACACTAATAACTTTGTAGGTTTTAAGGATCTAAAAGGAGCAAGTGATCCAACACTGAATTTGTTATCCTGGGTTTTCCAACTTGTACATGGATATGGTCTACAAGAACATGCTGAAAAGATACTAAAAGCAGCTGAAAACTTGAAAGATTGTTACAAAGGTGATCAAGATACCTATAGAAGTATACTATATCTCCTCCTAAACTTTAGAAATGCGCCCAAAAGGAACGAAAATAAATGGGTAAATAGCTAAAGACTGATATGAATCAATGGTTTCTTAAAATGAAAATTTTTGCAGGATCTTTGTATGCTACCATCGTTTGACTTCAAACATGAGGAGGATAAGCTGAATACTCTGTTTGTATTACCTGCCTCGTTACAGCAGGAATGTGAGAATTATTTTAGTGATACTTTTTATTTAGAGTCGAATACATTTGAGTTAGGACAGTTCCAATTTCCAAAACAATCCGAACATGAAATCTTGCATACTAAGGATGAGGATGAACATCCATATCAAGAGAGGGTCGAATCTGAAGATGACGGTATTTCAGAAGAGAGCATGTGGGAGATGGCTGCAAGAGAGCCATTCTGCAAGAGGAGGTAAACCACTACAACATTAAAAAATGGCGAAATTTCATTTGCTTTTCGTATGGATACATATACACGTCATGACCCAAAATGAAACATCATCATACTATTCACATTTTTTCCTCAAGGGCTTCATTAAAAAGTTACAGGGTGTTGAAGTTTAAAAATAAAAAACATTTTTTTTAATATCTCCAAAACTGTCAACTGGAATTAACTGAAATTTCAAAAGTATTTACTCAAAATTAACGTGCACCAGTGGCAGTGGCAGATTCTTAAAAGTATCATCAAACATCTGACACATTAGAAATTTCATTAAATAACAGAAAAGCTGATCCTGTCAAGAACTAAATATAGGAACTTAACAGGATATTTAGGATAACAGTTCAGGCAAATCTATTAAGATAGTTGAACTATGTTTATGTCGGTTCTCCAGTAAAGCTAGCCCAAATCCATTTCATAGACCTCCATAGTCACATCCACACTCTGGATAAAATCCATCAGCTTTAGAGACTAGGTATTCTAAAAACTTTTTCTGGATATAATCAATCCTATTTATTTAGCATTGGTGGTAAAGACTCCAAACTATTGATGCTTATTTCAGTTTTGTTCTTACATAGGCAAAGTTTAATGTTTTCAAGGCATCAGTATCAATTATAAGTTTACAATTTCTAACTAAAAAACCAAAAGACCTGCTTGTATCAGAAATTATTTGAGATATGTGATGATCAAAACTCAGTATACTATTGAATGTACACCACTTAAAGTATAATTATGTACAGTCCAGAGTTAAAAAAAAACGTTTTTTTTTTAAAACAAAAATAATGTTTTTTTTGTTTAAGACTTTTTTTTTTGTGTAAAACATTCCACCTGGATCTGCTTTTTTTTGTTGAAGATTTATTTAGCATTAATGCATATTCTTCAATCCATTTTCTGTAATTTTACATTCCTGTCTTTAAAAATTAAAAATTAAAATTACGTCACTTTGTATTTTGATTATTCATAAAGTGATTTTTTAATTTCACCCTAAACATTTTTAAATTTGAACTCTGTTTAATATCATTATTCAATTTATTAAATTTAAATACTCCCTGTTGAAATATAGATTTACTAGTTATGCTACAATTACAATTTTGCAGATGAAAATCTATACTGCCTCTAGTTTCATAGTTATGATAATGACTATTTAATTTTGTGAAGTTCTCTAAATGTGGTGGTAATAAATGATTTTTTAATTTGAATATGAAAACGAGAACTAAATCATATATGAAATTATTCACATCCAACCACTGCGGTTCTTCTAACATAGACTTAGTCCTAGCATATTTGTTTTTATTTAAAATGATTCTCATAGCTTTATTTTGTAGAATTTGTGATTTTGAAAAGATGTTTTCATTTGCTGTAAACAAGATGGTTGAACAATATAAAAATGGGGAAGAATTATACACAATTTTTTTTTGAACACATACTAAGATTATGGGAAACTCTATAGAAGTAATTTCTTTTTCGATATTTTTGAAATAATGTATTCATAATGTTCGTGAAACAGTAGCTTAATATCCACATATATACCAAGATATTTAAATGACTCGACTACTTCAATTTTTTCAGCATTAATCATGAGCCTAATTGTCACCTAAATGTTTCCCTATTGACATACATTTTGTTTTATTAGTGTTTAATTTAAGTTTATCGACATTTAACCAATTCATAATTTTTTCAATATCACTATTTAACAGTTCTAAAGCAGTGTCCAAATGCTTATGTGCTATATATATATATATAGGTGAAAAATTAAAGCTTCCGCCTTTTGTTGGGTACTTCGACAAAATTTAAGCAAAGAGGACTCTTTATACTTTTTTAATTCTCTCTAGCTTTCAATGGACTTTGCCATCATCATCAGGAGAGTAGTATGTGAGGATGTTGCTAATTGTTGTTTACGTATAGGATGAGGGAAACGTCCAGTAACATGGTGAGAGCTGGATAGATGGTACAATGGTCAAAATTATATAAAATATGACAAGAACAAGTTAAAAACAGATTAAAAATTATTTAAAAACATTTTGAAAGCTAGACAGAATTAAAAAAGTATAAAGAGTCCTCTTTGCTTAAATTTTGTCGAAGTATCCAACAAAAGGCAGAAGCTTTAATTTTTCACCTAACTGGTCTAGACGACAATGACCACGTCTCAAGTTATATATATATATATAAGTGTATCGTCAGCAAATATTTGAATTGAATTTGGATTGGTACAAAGACCGACTAGGCGATATCCCTTTGGATTACATTTTCTCTATTACTGATTATTTTTCTTTAGGTTAATTTTTAGAATAAGGTAGCAATAAGCTAACGATTTGTTTAAGTATGAATTGTCATTGACCAGACTTCGCCATTTGTAACTATAGTAAATATAGTGTAATTGGAATATCGTTAACAGAAACCACATGATTTGAAATGTTTTACTTCAGGACATGGGAAAGTTATGGATATGCAGAACCAGATAAAGAGCAACCTTTTCTTTCTGAATTAGGAGACCTATCTTCTCTATGGGTAGAAAATTTGGAAACGTTATATATGGTACCCATTTTCAGGGAAGAAGAACCTATATATCAGTCAAAAAAGATACCAAGAAAAACATTCATAATGAACCTCAAATATCTGTTAGGTATATCTCAACTTATTAACATATTATGCACATAGTGCATGCCTGCCAAATTTTATCAAAAGCCCTGTATCTCAAAAGTTAATACACTTATGGCATACGTTTATAAGAAGTGTTTTACTTAAAATGGACTCCAAATTTCCCCCTTAAATATCCACATTCATTTATTAAGTGTCTACTAGAATTTCTTCTTGCAAGTGTTCATTTCCAGGCACAAAAAAGCTCCTTCTTGCATGTTTTGCTTGGCCACGTGACTAAACCTTTTCGCTAACATACCACTAAAATTTTAACTCAAAACGTGAGAACCTAGCTTTGGAGTCCTCAATTGATTTTTGATACCCCATATAAGATCCTTTCATTAAATTTATCTATTCAGCTTTTCAATGGAACAACCAAATTTTCTTCACTTTCAGCTGGTATGGCATCGGACTGTTTTTCGTTTGATGGAAATGGTAATTTTTGTTTGGATCCAAATGTAAGTGTTGAAGGTATCACACCAGATACTTTGAGGGCATATTGTAGGCCACTATTGGTATGTGGGAATTGCCATAAAGCCTTAGAAAAGATGTGCACTCCCAATCCTGACACTGGGAAGTACAAATACGAAGGTTATATTTTTTCGGTAAGTTATTAACACTTTGGAGTCAAGAAATGCACGTAACGCATGTGAAACAAAAAAGCTTCATTTTCTGCTTGATTGCCTTCAAATTATCATCATTTGCGTTGCCACTGAAAACAAAAAAAGGTGTGCCATCTCTGGTTAAGTCTCTATCTCTAGGTGTTGCATTTTTTACAGTGAGTGTCTGATCAGCGCCTTTTTAGGCGATTATGTGTTTTGAGATTGCTTATCTTTGCATTTAAACAAAATCTTCGCCTTAGGTGGTTCATTGTGTCTACATACTTCTTCACGCCAAGCAAAAACCAAAGTTACCGAATTGGATCACATGAGGTAAGGTGGTCTTACTGACACTGATATCTAGAGCATTCACTAAAAAGGTTTCCTCACTGATGTGTTATTGTTGAAAATATCGGAATTGAGACCCTCATGTCGTGTAATCACCAAGATCGCCGGATCAGTATCCGTTAGAGGTTTTTATTTGTCTTTCACGTGCTTAATACAGTTTTCCCATTTTTGCGCTGTTATTAATTCTAGTGCTTCTTTGAAAAGTCCTTTGAGGTCACAAAATTTAAAAGTTGTATTGTGCTTAGCTATATAATTTTTAACCTCTGCCCATATGAGCTCAATGGGATTGAGCTCGCAATGGTATGGAGGTAAACGGAGCACAGTTTTATTTTGACTTGCTGCCATTTCGTCAATGGCGTATTTTTGATATTCCGCCTTGTGATCCTTGACAATTCTTAATAATTGTACTTTCAGCATTGCTTCTTCAAAGTTGATATTTTTCGAGCGGAGCCAATTTTGAACATCAACTTTCCTTGAAGCCGTTGTTGGGACCTTCTCCATTCTTCGAGAATGATAAGGCGCATTATCCAACACAATTACTGCGTTTTCCTCTAAGTTCGGTAAAATGTTTGAAAACCACTGTTCAAACGATTCGCCATTCATTTCCTCGTGGTAATCTCCAGTTTTCTTAGACTCAAAGCACCACAGACCGTCAACAACAAATCCATCCTCACTGCCAATATGGCAGATAATGAGCCTTTTCCCTTTACCTGGAAATCGAAGTACTAACTGGTGTAGATTTATTTCAATAAGCGAACCTTTTTCAAATGTTTTCATCACATTCAGCGAAAAAACATTGAGACATGAGTATCAGATTGCTATAATTGGGATTATTTAGTCATATTGAAAGAAAGAATATTGAACATCGTATGATTACTCAGCGCTTCACAATTCAATTTAAAGTTATAAACCTTTAAAAAATGAATGATCAGGAACCTGAAATACGCGCAAATATTAATATTAACAAATTATAACTTTATAAAGCTTAAAGTATGAATTAAAATGATTAGAAATATTAGGAACGGTACACAATATAAAACTTAGTAACTTTTTTTAAGTTTATAATATTCGACATATTTTAAGATTATATTAAAAAATTATTGAAATATCGAAAACGCATAAAAACATGGCTTAAAAAAGTTCTAACAAATGAAAATGACAATAAATCATCCACGCATTTTATCGAAAGTTATAAAAGTTTTGTTACTTGTGATATGTTTTATCTGCCCCCTGGAATTAATGTTTAGAACCTTGTTCCCAAGGTTTGAAAAACATCCGATTGTTGTCTATTACTCGTATTTAGCTGCTGGATTTTTTAATCCGGTGGACAGTCCATCTAGAAAGGCCCTCCTGGATGAAGTTACAGAATCATCAACCCATACTTTACTTGTAGTGTGTCCTGCGTTTACCCACGTTTCATCAAGGTAATACATCTTCCTGTTTTGATTTCTATATTTCCCAATTTTTGTTAAATAATCCCTCCTCCATAGCACAATTTCTTCTCTATCCAGTAGTAAACTATTACGACCCCGTTTTTTCCATTTGAAATTTAAATGCTTCAGTAACGCATGGAAAGTTGATCGTTTGAAATTTGGCAACGTTGTATCTCCATTTACCTCCTGCAGTACTTTATCTATAGTAGGTATTTCATTCCTAAAGAAGAATTCATGCACTTTCCTCCTAATCGCATGCTTATCAGCTTCATCCAATGATTTAACAATACTTTTGCGATGTTTACTGGTCATTGGCTCAGAAAAGGTGTGATTTTTTTTTGTATTGTCTTAACACATTAAACACTGATGCGCGACACACCCCAACTTTGTGAGAAACCTTCACAACAATTTCTTTGATGGTTGATGCCTCGTTCTCCTCGCGCTCGATCTTATATATATTCAAAATGACCTCTTTCATTTCTGCACTCAGGTGTCTTTTTTTAGAGCGTTTCCTAGGTGGACTACAGGAGTTTACAACTTCATCGGCAGTATCTGTACTACTGGGCATTTTGCGCAAGCAGTTGATAACAATAACAATCAATAACAAGGTATAACAATAACAACGACAAACTCAACAACTTAATAAGATAACAAACGAAAACGTCCAAAGAAATATCAAATTGCAATGATGCACACGACATACGTAACACGTCTGAACCTGAATGTGACTCTGCCTTGATACGACTGCTCTGCCGCTCGGCATAGGCATTTAATTGCGAATTGACCAATGAGGGCTCCTGTTTTACGTCGAGACGGCGGCGTTAGCGTGAAAATCACCCGAACCTTTTGTTTACATCCGGTCTATCTCTTATCTGAATAAACTGTAGACAGCCCCAAATGTTGCAAATTAAAAATTTGGAAGAGTTAAACTCATGTTTTTGAGAATCGAACAGTGACAACTTCAAACAGTGTTTACAAACAAAACGTGACAGGACAGTACTTACCAAATGAATAGTGAGCATTTTTCTTCAATTTCTTTTTTACGTTTTCGGAGTTTTTTTACCGCAAATTACCTTTGATATTGCAAACGTAGTTAACTCTGAACAGGAAAGACCCAATTTTCAGGACATCTTGTGTAATACAGTAGCGTGCTAAAAGCTGATCGGCCACGAAGGAAACTTTACACAGGGGATACTCGCGCAAACTAATATTTTCCACACAAACATCTTTATTTTTGTTTTTCATTTCAGGAATTCTGTGGAAGTATTAAAAGGTATCTGCAGTTTCACCAAACGGCAGTATTCTCGATTCCGTGTGACTCAAATTTTCTGGAGTTTCACAAAAAAACTCAGCAACTGAGATTGCAGCATTCAGCCTTGGCTTCCGTTTGTAAGGTAAATTATACGCTTGGACCGCGCCGTGAAAGATATTTATTAATTAATAGAATCCCAAATTAAAATATGAAGAATTAGAGTGTTTGCGATCACTAATGACTTATTTAAAATTATGTGTGTATTTAGCCAATATTCAATTTCACTATTACACATTATATTTATCCGCGATTATAGGTAGGACCTTATAAAGAAAAGGATGGGGAAATACCGAAAGGCGTTGCTTTGTTGAACTATTTATACCAAAAAGTTGTAAATATCACTGAACAGAAAGTGGCTTTAGTCTTGTATTCTATCTTGTACCCCTGTTGTCAGGTATATTTCAGGTATGTTTTTCTATTTTTTATATAGATTGTATTCTATAGTATTTGGAACCTTTTCGGCTATGGATTTTGATTCCATTGCACTGCATTATGATTAAAATATCCTCATAATCAGTCTACTAATTCTGAAAGCTCTTAATTCAGTTGATGTTGCTACTTTCGCTCATCGCATTTTTATTTCCAGTCGTTTTCTGACCCAGTGGATATTAGATGGTGTAATAAATGACCCGTATGGAGAATTTTTTATCAAAATAGACCACAAATATCTGATAACAAAAGGCAGGACTTATTGGACACGAAGTTATTCAATCTGCGAAGATATTATGCCGGATTTTCTGATAGATTTGAAAGACGATATTTTATTATGTGGCAAATCTATGATGCTGTTGAAACTATGCAATAGTTCGGTAAGTTTTGCATCTACGCTGTAGAAGTATTGATAATAATATTCCACCATTAATCGAAGTTGCGATTATTCAAGAATCATTCAGCATTAATGCTACAATGTGAATTTTGTATATTTCTTCGTTTACACATTTTTTAAATCAATTTTCTGTAATATTACATTCTTGTCTATTGAAGTTACATCACTATGCATTTTGAGTACTTATAAAGTGATTTTTTAATTTCACCTTAAGCACATTTAAATTTAATATCTTTATTTAATTCTAAAGTCAAATACTCCCTTTTGAAATACGGATTTGCTAGCTACGCTACTGTTACGATTTTGCAGATGAAAATCTAAATTTCGTTGTAGTTATGATAATGACTATTTAATTTTGTGCATTTTTCTAAACGTGGTGGTAAAAAATATTTTTTTAATTTGAATAAGAAAATTTTTTTTAAACATTTTTTACATTCAACCACTGTAGTTCTTCTAACATAAACTTAATCTTAGCATATTTGTTTTTATTTAAAATGATATCTTTATTGTAGAATTTGTAATTTTGAAAATATATTTTCATTTGCTGTAAACAAGATAATATAAAAAATTCGATATAAGTTATTAATCTTTTTTTTGATATCTTTGATATAAAGTATTCATAATGCTTTCGAAACACTAGTTTACTATTCACATAATTACCCAGATATTTGAATGATTCGATTACTTTAATTTTTTCATCATCAATCGTGAACTTAATTGTTTTGTCACCTAAATGCTTCCCTATTGGCATACATTTTGTTTTATCAGTGTTCAATTTAGGTTTATCAACATTCAAAGAATTCATAATTTTTTTTCATCACTATGTAACAGTTCTAAAGCAGTGTCCAAATGTTTATGTGCTATATATATATATATATATATAGTATTCATAGTTAATTGCCTTAACTGTTAGGAGAAGATATCCTTTAATTTCTTTGGGTAGAAGGCAAATTATTGCAAAAGTATACTCTTATAACTTAAACTCTCAAGCTTTCGAAGATCTTTGTCTTCATCGTCTGGAGCTAGAAACAATTATTGACAACTTTATTCGTCGACTATGTGTTCCCTTCACTGTTATTTAAAAACAATTTCAGCAACAATCTCGCCGACTTCGTAAGTAAATATTTTTATCCTAATTGTTATATACAGGGTGACTTTGAAGTTGAGTCTGTAATTTTCAGATAATGATTGTAGAAGGAAGATAAACCAAAATATGTGTGTGAAAATAAAAAAAAAATAAAAAAGTGTTTACCTTGTTTTATAAAGTATCCTCCCGACAAGTATTTCAGTGCGGACCTGTATTTGATCGTGCGGTCTTGGAGCACCGGCATGCCGTCCCCTGTGAGGTCTTAAGTCACCTGATTCACGAGCCCTTTGTACTACATTATCAAAGGCACGAGTGGTTGGTTGCACTCGATTGGGAAACCGATCCGCATAAATCCGTGATACCGCGTAAATAAGAATCATGTCCACAAGTTCAGCATTTTCGTAAACATGTGCCATTTTTGATTTCGTTTGAGCCACGCAACAGACACCACTATTCACTCACGCGTTACCGACTGACACTGACTGTATACAACTGAATAAAATAATTGTAAAAACATCGTTCCAAATTCTTTCGCTTTTTTGTTTCCGATGCGATGAACCGATAAGGCGGATTATATCCGCTGTTGCCAAACACGAGCACATAATATTATTATTGAGACAGGGCGGTACTCAAACTTCCAAAGGGCTATAACTTTGTTACTTTAATTTTACCAGAAAAATGGTAAAGGAAAAAACATTTCTTTTGATCAGATCTACTCACTGTTAAAATAAATGACTCAACTTCGAAGATATATATATATATATATATATATATATATCAATGTATCGACCGCAAATATTGGAATTTTGCAGTATTCTAAAATGTCAGAGATATCATATATAAAAATACTGTTACAAGACATATTATTTCTCATCTATACTTCTCTAGTCTTCCACCACCATTTGGATAGCTGTGTAGAATATTATTTCTAAATCCAGCTTGATATTTTGTCAAAATGCTCTTAATATTACTACCAATTAAAGACTGACTGTGAAGATGTATTTCTTTTTTGCAGAGTAAACTGTGTCATTATCTTATGGGCGCGAAGCCTTCAATCATTTCATGTTGCCTGACAAGAGATCAACTTGATGCTGTATATCACAGTACAGTTACCTATTTTCTGGAAGTTTCAGAGGAGATAGGTCCTCAGTTTAGCATCAGCAATGCTCTTACCAAGTACAAAACAAGTGACCCTAACTTTTTGAGTCTAATTGCCAAAAAGCGGGCAGCTACTATGAAAAGAATTGAATGTGAGTACCCGAATACATATGAGAGAAGTTTGATACTGGAATTCATTATATTTGTGCCATTTTATAATTTGCCTTTTTTTAGTGGAGAGATTAAAAGCAATAGAAGAACAGAAAATGAAAAAGATGGATGAGATGAATGCTTTAAGAGAACAGTATGATATGGCTTTAGAACAAGTGCAGTTGAATGTGGTGAAAGAAATTCAGGAAGATATGAGACAGGTACAAGAAAATATTGAAATCGAAGAGAAACGTCAGAAATTGGTAAAGGAGGAAGCGTAAGTTACAATTCCCTCATATGCATAGATCTGTACCCATTGCAAAATTGGGCGGTTCACACAACATTGAAAATATTCAACCTAAAATTTCAGTTAATTTGCCTATTTACTGAGAAAATGTTCAGTATATCAAGTAAAGGCTAATAGTTAATCAAAGCTCAACTCTCCTATGGACACAGAAATTTGATAGATTTGCTTTATATATTTTGATATACAGAGGTTTAACCTACTTGAATACGATTCGATTTCACCTTTTGACTTATCCATTTTCTTTGAACCCTCCAAGGAATGCGTACAGAGTCAACCTACTTGACTCCAACTTTTTTGTTTCAGGGATAAAATGATTGAATATTACACAAAATTGTACGAGCAAGCTGAAAAGAAGAAGGCACTAATCGAAAAGCATGTTAAAGTTTTTAAAAGCATTCACTTCAATCGAAATACAGAAACAGAAAATGCAGAGGAAAAACACTGCACTGAAGATACGGAACACCAGGCAGTTGCAAATAGTTCAAACGAAAGTTTTTATTCTCTGCATGATGACAAACAAAATGAAACAGAAAAAGTGGAAGAACAAGAAACGAAACAGGATGATGATGAAGAAGAAGCAGTGTTTCATGATTCTACTACGAATTTCCAAATTCATTCGTCCGAATCAATGGACATTCTGAACGCAAATACCGAAGATCAATTAAACGAGGTACCTGCAGAAAAAACAGTGCCGCCACACATACAGACCGTAATCGACAATTACAAAATGGCAAAACAGATCAAGCAAAAAGTTATGACCCAAGAAATGGGTATAGATTTCAGCTCAAGTGCTGATCCAAAACGAACAGAAGATGCTACTGCTACTTATTTAACCGAGGCCCAAAAAAATAAATTGAGGATTTTGTCTTCCGAATTTGGGATTGAAGTAAAAGATGTCCGGAAACTGAGAATGTCAAAAGCAGCTCAAAACAACAAGAATAGGATTCTAGGCACAAGCGACTGCTTTCATTATTTGGATAACGTAGACTTCGTCAACAAAAATCACGAAGAATCGATGAAGAAGTCGAAATCACTAACGCTTGATTTGAGCAAAAAGCAACCTAAACAAGAGCTGGATAGACCTGTGCCGATGTCTGTTGATTCGACACCACAAAGTGAACTCAGCTGTAGCACAATATATATGAGCGTGGACGTGAATCAAACGTCAACTACGCCAACTACTGCTAGGACAGAATCAGAAATTCAACTTCCCTTCGACCACAATCAGAATCCTTCCGCCGAAGCGATTAACCTTAGTCAAAATGTTGGCTTTTTACCGAAAATGGTGTTTTCTAAAAGGGTGCCCACGAAAGTTGCTCGGTGCATATCAACCAACTGCCTCTCTTTAGTTTTGGAAGAAAGTATTCATATACCGCTCGTAGCACAGACTAAGGCCGTGAACAATGAGCTCCTGAGGTATTTCATCCATGACCTGAAATACCTTGACCATCTGCACAGTTTAAGGGACTACTTTTTTCAGCTGGATTGTGAATTTGGCAGGAACGTGACAGATACATTGTTCACAAAATTGTACGAATCTTCTGTGCCGTCTGACGTTATCAGCTGCAGGATGCTCAAGGAGCTTCTATACAGGGCGTGCGATGTTAGCGGAAAAAATCAAGATAACTCGCAAAGACTTTCGTTCAGAATGACTGGGATGCCGAAACGATTAGATTTGGGAGACCCGAATGTTTTGGATTTCATTTCTTTGACTTATAAAATCCAGTGGCCTCTAAATATACTGTTGCCTGCAGACACTATATCGAAATACGATGAAATCTTCAAATTTCTTTTGAAGTTGCATAGAGCATCGTGGGTCTTGAAGAAAATATTCTTGGTGAGTTTAACTTATGGAATTTGACCACCTGTTAGTTCCAAAGAAAATTCATATATTTATAGTTCATGTTGTGCTAATCAAATAATGCTCAAGGCGGTGTAAAGCGCAGAAGTGCTTTCTATTGGAGTTACAGGGTGTGGGTACGCCATTTTACGAGAACTAACTATATTATTTAGGGACAACGATATCAAAATATTTATCCGCAAATTTGCAAAGTAGTTTTATAAGCTAACAGTTTGGATTTCTTTCGAAACGCTCCACAGAGTTAAATCTTTTAACATTCACAAACTATGTGTTGGAATCCTTGGAGGAAGGTTATTCTGTTCACGTAGTTTATACCGATTTTTCTAAAGCATTCGATAAGGTCAAGCATGAGATCATGATTAATAAGTTACATTGTCTAGGAATTTGCGGGGATCTTTTATCATGGCTGAAGTCTTACCTCACTGACCGAAAACAAATAGTGCGTGTACAAAGCTTTCAATCAAATGAGATTAATGTGTCATCTGAAGTACCTCAAGGTTCCCACCTGGGTCCTCTTCTTTTCAGTATACAGGGTGTCCCAGAAGTCGACGTCAAGCCGAAACCGGGTGATAGGCAAACTCATAACAGCTATCAGAAAAATATTTAAAAAAATTTTATGTATGTTTTTTGAAAATTATAGGTCTTTGAAAAAGATATAGAAATTTCACACCCTGTCTGTCAACTCCTGTTACTACAAATATTAACTTTTTTTGGATTTTATTTTTACAATGTAATGATGAATAATGCATCTTCAAACTGGTGTCTCAACCTTACTGCCAACTTTTCTCGTTCAGGAAAAATTGCCACTTATTTCCCAACCAAGTATTCCAAAGTAAAACTTTGCTCAACTTTAACTGGCAGTACTGGAAAAAAATGTACTACGAGAGTTTGGCAAGTACCTTAAAAGTTGGCGCATTTAATAACGATTCCAAAATGGTATAACACTTAGAAGATTACTCGTTAACTTAAGCACAATATTTATTTGAAGAAAAACTGATGAAAATTTTTCAAAATTTCCTAATTAAACAGCGATTATGAAAACGCACAAGGACCCTTAAGGATAACTGTTTGCACAACAGTGGGCGTCAAAATGCTGCTGATGATGATTTACCTTTACAGCAAATGCTCAAACTGTTTTCCTTCAGCCGCAATACACGCTCGACATCATCTTAAAAAAGATCCGGTTATTAAACGAGTGAATCCACGGTTATTAACAAACTCAGCTGCTTCCAATAGTCTTTGCCGTAGCTCAGCTACATTTTGAATCGGCTTGAAATACACTTTTTCTTTTACAGTTCCCCAGTAAAAAAAAATCTAAAGGATTCAAATCAGGTGATCGGGCTGGCCACGGTATTGTACCAGACCGCCTTATCCATCTGCCTGGAAAGTTTTGATCGAGATACTCTCTCACTGAGAGTGCATAGTGCGCTGGGCAGCCATCATGCTGAATCCACATGTCCCTGTAAATACTCAGTGGCACGTCCACCAATAAATTTTGTACATGATTTTTCAAAAAATCCAAATAAACTTCAGCAGTCAAAGTCTCTGGGAACTCAAACGGACCGATTATTTTACCATTTAAAATTCCTGTCCAATGGTTTATCGTGAAGCGATATTGAGATTTATCTTCTCTCATCAAATATGGGTTTGCTACGTGCCACTCGTGTAAGTTATGCAGGTTCATGTACCCATCTTTCTTAAATGTGGTCTCATCCGACCATAAAATTCTTTCAAAGAACTGTGGATCTTTCCTGTATCTTTCTAACATTGTGCGACAAAAAGCAACTCGGGGCTCATAATCCCGGGGCAGGAGAGGTTGAACACGCTGTATATGGTATGGATGAAGCACAGTTTGAGCATTTGCTGTAAAGGTAAATCATCATCAGCAGCATTTTGACGCCCACTGTTGTGCAAACAGTTATCCTTAAGTGTCCTTTGTGCGTTTTCATAATCGCTGTTTAATTAGGAAATTTTGAAAAATTTTCATCAGTTTTTTTTCAAATAAAAATTGTGTATAAGTTAACGAGTAATCATCTAAGTGTTATACCATTTTGGAATCGTTATTAAATGCGCCAACTCGTAAGGTTACTTGCCAAACTCTCGTAGTACATTTTTTTCCAGTACAGCCAGTTAAAGTTGAGCAAAGTTTTACTTTGGAATACTTGGTTGGGAAATATGTGGCAATTTTTCCTGAACGAGAAAAGCTGGCAGTAAGGTTGAGACACCAGTTTGACGATGCATTATTCATCATTACATTGTAAAAATAGAATCCAAAAAAAGTTAATATTTGTAGTAACAGGAGTTGACAGACTGCCGTAGGGTGTGAAATTTCTATATTTTTTTCAAAGACCTATAATTTTCAAAACACATACATAAATTTTTTTTAAATATTTTTCTGATAGCTGTTATGACTTACCTATCACCCGGTTTCGGCTTGACGTCGACTTCTGGGACACCCTGTATATATTTTTCACTGACATCTTAACTTTGGAATGTGTGTTTTGGATTATGACGATTCGTGAAAAGTTTTGGAAACTAGCTATCCAAAAACTTACATAGGTTCGTATTTCAGGAACTGAAGAGTTTGGCGAAAGAAATGGGCGAAAAGGAAATTTACCTAATGTCGTCTCCCCAATATAGGCGGTTACATCATCATCGTCATATTATGACACATTTCATTCAGACTTTCCAAGATTATATTGTTGGCGAAGTATTGCAAGCTAGCTGGGAATCTTTCGAGAGAGAATTACCTAACGCCACGAATTTGGACGAGCTGTATTCTATGCATGTGTCTTACGTGAAGAAAATTATTATACTGTGAGTATTATGTTTGATTCCATCTTTTTCAGCGTGACATTACATGAACTTTTGCTCATTACTAGTTGGGAAACAGTGACTTTTTAAACGGGTTGGGAACCGAGATTGCGTCGATTCATATTTGAGCATTGGACTATTGGATATCACATGGAAGGAGCTCTCAAAGCTCCAGAATATTTTAAATAAAATGCGCATTTGACCTTTTGCCAAAAAGCAGTACCACAAGTGCTTAAGTCACTAAAAATATCTTGTGGATACGAGTTTCGAGCTAAGAACTGCAGAATGCCCTTTTGATAGATTGGAGAACAAAGTTGAAGTGCAGTATTGAGCATTAGAAACGTTAAACTCTATATCTCCTTGAGGTAATAACCTGCAGGTTTTTATATCAAGCTCGTTATTATTCATTTCCATCTCATTCGTAGAGATCAGATCAGCTTGGTAAGTCAGACGGTGCAATTCTTGATTAGCCGCTGGAAAGTGCCTATTATACAGGGTGTCCCAGAAGTCGACGTCAAGCCGAAACCGGGTGATAGGCAAAGTCATAACAGCTATCAGAAAAATATTTAAAATTTTTTTATGTATGTGTTTTGAAAATTATAGGTCTTTGAAAAAGATATAGAAATTTCACACCCTACGACAGTCTGTCAACTCCTGTTACTACAAATATTAACTTTTTTGGATTTTATTTTTACAATGTAATGATGAATAATGCATCTTCAAACTGGTGTCTCAACCTTATTGCCAACTTTTCTCGTTCAGGAAAAATTGCCACTTATTTCCCAACCAAGTATTCCAAAGTAAAACTTTGCTCAACTTTAACTGGCTGTACTGGAAAAAAATGTACTACGAGAGTTTGGCAAGTAACCTTAAAAGTTGGCGCATTTAATAACGATTCCAAAATGGTATAACACTTAGAAGATTACTCGTTAACTTATGCACAATTTTTATTTGAAAAAAAAACTGATGAAATTTTTTTCAAAATTTCCTAATTAAACAGCGATTATGAAAACGCACAAGGACCCTTAAGGATAACTGTTTGCACAACAGTGGGCGTCAAAATGCTGCTGATGATGATTTACCTTTACAGCAAATGCTCAAACTGTTTTCCTTCAGCCGCAATACACGCTCGACATCTTCTTAAAAAAGATCGGGTTATTAAACGAGCGAATCCACGGTTATTAACAAACTCAGCTGCTTCCAATAGTCTTTGCCGTAGCTCAGCTACATTTTGAATCGGCTTGAAATACACTTTTTCTTTTACAGTTCCCCAGTAAAAAAATCTAACGGATTCAAATCAGGTGATCGGGCTGGCCACGGTATTGTACCATCTGCCTGGAAAGTTTTGATCGAGATACTCTCTCACTGAGAGTGCATAGTGCGCTGGGCAGCCATCATGCTGAAACCACATGTCCCTGTAAATACTCAGTGGCACGTCCTCCAATAAATTTTCTAAATGATTTTGCAAAAAACCTAAATAAACCTCAGCAGTCAAAGTCTCTGGGAACTCAAACGGACCGATTATTTTACCATTTAAAATTCCTGTCCAATGGTTTATCTTGAAGCGATATTGAGATTTATCTTCTCTCATCAAATGTGGGTTTGCTACGTGCCACTCGTGTAAGTTATGCAGGTTCATGTACCCATCTTTCTTAAATGTGATCTCATCCGACCATAAAATTTTTTCAAAGAACTGTGGATCTTTCCTGTATCTTTCTAACATTGTGCGACAAAAAGCAACTCGGGACTCATAATCCCGGGGCAGGAGAGGTTGAACACGCTGTATGTGGTATGGAAAATTTTCATCAGTTTTTCTTCAAATAAAAATTGTGCATAAGTTAACGAGTAATCTTCTAAGTGTTATACCATTTTGGAATCGTTATTAAATGCGCCAACTTTTAAGGTTACTTGCCAAACTCTCATAGTACATTTTTTCCAGTACAGCCAGTTAAAGTTGAGCAAAGTTTTAGTTTGGAATACTTGGTTGGGAATAAAGCGGCAATTTTTCCTGAACGAGAAAAGTTGGCAGTAAGGTTGACACACCAGTTTGAAGATGCATTGTTCATCATTACATTGTAAAAATAAAATCCAAAAAAAGTTAATATTTGTAGTAACAGGAGTTGACAGATTGCCGTAGGGTGTGAAATTTCTATATTTTTTTTCAAAGACCTATAATTTTCAAAACACATACATAAAATTTTTTTAAATATTTTTCTGATAGCTGTTATGACTTTGCCTATCACCCGGTTTCGGCTTGACGTCGACTTCTGGGACACCCTGTATATTTATTTACGGTTTGCCACTACATAAAAAAACACTTGACAGATTAGAATAGTTACATATAAGTTTAATTAAATAACGACTAAAGATTAATGTGATACCCGATCTGCTTATGGAGTGTCCAGTGGAAAAGTTCACATTTCAAATTTGAATTGAGCGGCAACCGTATACGCGAGGAAGTGCGGAGAGGTCTTGATCGACGCGTTCGGCGTGCGGGTTAAATAGTCACGATGGAACGCTGGACCGGAGCGCAACGTGCTTTTGCTATCGAGGCTTACTTCAAGAGTGGTGATTCATACCCAGCTGCCCTTCGGAAATTTTTTACACGATACAAAATTCGCCGACCAAGCAAGAACCTATTGAAAAAGTGGCCCACCTACTGTATAAGCGGAAGAAAATGTGCGTCCTGTATGGAAGCATTCCGCTGCTTTGGGAATCCCCAGGTCAACACTGCATGGCATAATGAAGAAAAAATGGAGTTTCATCCTTATAACATGCTTTGAGGGAAAGTGATTACGTATTACGGAAATCGAGAACGTTTACAGTGACGAGGCCCATTTTCACTTAGACGGTTATGTGAACAAGCAAAATTGCAGACATTGGGCACCAACGAACCCAAAAGAGAAACATCAACAACAGCTGCATAGTCCAGAGGTGCGCCATATCCTGTAGCGGTATTATTGGGCCGTATTTCTTTGCAGATGAAAACGGTCATGCATTGACAGTCAATTCCGCGCGATACAAGGACGTGATTTGACACTTTTTTGCTCCTATTGTAAGAACAGAATGTCGATTTAACAGAAACCGTGGTTTCAACAGGATGGGGCCGCTGCCCATACTTCCAGAGAATCGATGGACACGGTGGAAGCACTTTTTCTTCAAAAAGTTATATTGGTCACCCGACCTCACGCCGTGCGATTATTTTTGCCGGTTTATCTAAAGTCAAAAGTGTATTCCAATAATCCGCGAACACTGAAGGAGCTTGAAGACAACATGCGACGAGAAATAAACATCACTCCGGAACTGTGCAAGAGCGTTTCAGAATTTGCGCGATTAGAAGAGTGTGTACCTAAGAAATAAAAACCGATGATAATCAAAAAGTGAACTTCCCCACTAGACACCACATTTTGATCCCTACAAAATAATTGTTTTCTGAAAACATTTCGAAAATACACTATCGTTCTTTCTTCTAGGTGCATGCTGCATCAAAAGATGAATGCATTGAAGACAGTGATCCATAAAATATTTGTTGTAGTATTGAAATTTTACGATTACCTGAGATCCAGGCTGTGGGTTTGTAAAGACGGCGCTTATATTCATCCAAATTTCGAAAAGTTAGATAGCATATTCAAGAACTTTGAAGAACTGGTGGCCTTCTTTTTCAAAGTCGCTAGGAAAGTTGGTAAATGCGGACTGCAACCGCATTTGATACAGTTATTGGACATGTTAGATGTTAATAATTATTACACAAACATTTCTCTTGCTTTCAATAAACACAAGTAGTTATTTATTTTGAATAAATCTGGTATTTATTTGTCTGCTTACCCACTAGCAAGTGTATATTACAATTATGTAGGTGTATGTACCAGTCTGTCTTAACTTTCAGCTTTAATTAAATAAAATTGCAACTTTGTTAGCGCAAATATTACAGCAGACGCTCGATAATGTAAACTAATTTAATCCAAGTGTGGTTCACATTATCGAACGTGATTTATATAATATTTGATTTATTAAAAGAAACGTTTAATACATACTATTTATAACAAAATAAACAAATATTCTAACAGCGATAAGTATTTTTTTAATTAGAAGAAAAATAATTAACAATTTTTGTCTGCGTAAATTTGCGCTTAGCATTGTCTTCCAATGCCTGCGCCCGTAATTTACGAAGAACTAAAATATCCGTGTATGAAACTTCTTTTCTTTCAGCCCAATCTAAAGCTTGGTTAAAAACTTGTATAGCTTGCGCGTCAGTCACTACACTTCTGACTTCAATGGGATCGTTCTCATCATCCTCACTGTCCATATCCTCCTCCTTATCAGCATTATTCGTCTGCTTATCTTCGTTCCATAAATTAATATCAGCAGGAGTACAAACAATGTTGGGATTCACTGTTTTCAATAAATCAACAACATCCAATGACACACTAAGAACATTATCGTTATTGGATCGCAAACGTTCTCTAATTACGCTTAAGGGGACATCGTCTTCTTCATCATCTTCATTATTGGTACAAAAGAGATTGTTCCAACATTTTTGAATAGTTTGCTGTTTAAGTTCATTCCAGACCATATGTAAATCTAAAACAGCTTCTCGTAATGTTACTTTTTTTAAAGCCTCAGATAAGTTTTCAGGATTCTTTGATAAGACAGAAGAAAGTAGAAACTTCCTATAGTATAGTTTGGTGAGTCTTATTATATTCTGGTCCATCGGTTGAATTAACGGTGTTACGTTGGGCGGCATGTACATGACGAAAATTGACCCATCCCTGCTCCTCAGTTGTTGCTCAGGAGGATGACTTGGTGCATTATCCAATAGTAACAACGCTTCTATTGGAAGCTTCTGTTGTTTTAGGAAACCTTTTACCTACAAATTGAAAACACATCTTCAAATTATGAATAGAGCATTTGCGATAATTGATTGTCATACCTGAGGGACAAAGCACCTGTGGAACCATTTCAGGAATATACTGCTAGTCATCCAAGCGGTTTTTGAACAGTCATAATCAACAGGGATATTAACATTTTTAAATGAGCGCGGATTTTTTGCTTTCCCAATTACCAGTGGCTTTATTTTGTGTGAACCATTAGCATTAGTGCAGGCTAGAAACGTTATTCGTTGTTTCTCCGGCTTTCTTCCCGGGGCAGATTTTTCAAATGATGCAGCATAGGTTTTCTCTGGTAACATTTTCCAATAAAGGCCACTTTCATCTGCGTTGTAAATCTAGCTCGGTAATTGTTTTCATCAATTTTTTTTTGAATGGTTGCACTAATTGTGGTTGTGCTGATAATTTTTCACCAGATATAGACAGCAGTCGAATTCCGTATCTTGTTTTGAATCATTGTAGCCAGCCATCACTAGCTACGAAATTTTCAGTTTTTCATTTAACAGTCTCGCTCTCTGTTTAAGTACTTCGCCACTAACTGGGACATGATTTTCCCGTTGTTTTAAAAACCACTTATACAGGGAATTTTCCATTTTAGGTGCCTTCGCATTTTTTAAAGTTTTTCTTTTTCCCGGACCTCCAAATGTATTGCACGTTCTTTGTAAAATTTGAGTTTTCATACGCTTAATTTTACCGATTGTTGCTTTCGATACTCCATATTTTTTTGCTAACTGTGTCGCTCCCGCACCTAGTGCAACTTCGTCTATGATTTTCACTTTCTCACTCAACTTTAAACACTTTCTTTTATATAATGTGGATGCCATAGTCGTAAAATATATTAACGCGTGCAATGTATTCACTTAAGTTCAAAAATGAAATACATACGTACGTATAAACGTATCCTAAACGATCATACGACTGACCGAGTTTGTCGTATTTTATCGCAGAGGTGAATCCCCTACACACTACATCATAAATCGGGAACTCCCCGACGCCCGACATAAATCATCGAGGCTTCAGCATTTTACCGCCGCGCTGATTCCGTGCGCCGAGAGTTGTTCACGTTATCGAGCGTACACATTGTTTACGTTATCGCGCGTTCCGTTTGATCCTATAGACGAAGTTTGTGTTTACATTAGCGCAAGTTTTCATTATCCCGTGGTTACGTTATCGAGCGTCTGCTGTATTAAGATATTAAGTTTAATAAAATTTAGTGTATGAACCTTTTTCTATACTCCAGCTACCTCCAAGGCCTAAACACCCGTGGGGCTATAGGGGGATACATACAGGGGAAAAGGGGGAGACGCCACACGCAGCATGCACACATTCTGGCCCCGCCTACGAGATCCGCCGGGTGGTACCTAAACTCACATTCATTCTTTCATTGTAGCACCTAAAAACTTATAGATTGGACTGGTTCATTGCAAAATTATTTTTGGTGTCACTAGAGGAACATAAATGAAACATGGGCAATACAGATGATACACATTTATTTTCTGCTTAAACTGTCAATAACCTCTCTGTACTTCCCTTAATGCTTTTCTCTCAAAATATCTTTTTACAGCTTCATCAAATTTTTCTCCAACTGTACGTTTTTTCCAAATATCAACTTTTGGCTTTTCAGGTTTTATTTCTACGTGTTTCTCATCAACCACGTCATTTTTGTTTGTTTCTATTTCTGGTACTGGATTTTTTACATCTGTTTCACCAGCATCTTTGATTTCTTCTTTTATTTCTTCTCCTGGCATGTTGGGAGTTTTTTCGTTCTTCACTTTCTTTTCAGGTACACTTTCTTCGTTATCATCTTCGCTGTCGGAAGAGTCAATGCTGAAATCTGAATCTGCATCTAAATTTGAAACCAAATGCTCTTTTTTCTCCTCCGTATCTTCTTCACTTTCCTTTGAATCCCTTCTGGTTCTGTATTTCCTGTTTCTTAAATCTTTTTTAGTTTTTAATGTTCCAGGTTCTGCTTCACTTTCAGAGGATTTCTTAGATTTTTTTGGAGGGCTCTCAGAATCACGTTCCAGTTCTTGCCTCTCATCTTCACTATTATTTTTAGTTTCCTCATCAACTCCTTTACTTTCCCCTGTAACATCCTCATACTTCACTTTTTGCTCGTACAAATGTCTGTAAAATCCATCCAAATTGCCTTGTTTTGTTACATCTCCAATTGATTCAAGATACTCCTCGCGCTTTTCTTGTTCTTCTAGAGCTTTCATTTCTTCCAGCTTCTTTTTGTAAGCAGATGTTATGAATGATTCTTTATCCTTAAACATTTCACCTTCTTCCTCTCTTTCTTTCTGAACTTGCCTTTCAATTCTTCTCTCGTTCTCTCTCTTCCGTTTCTCTGCAGCTGCGAGTAGTCTGCTTATGTACTTTGGTTTTTTGTCTACATCCTTTCTTGCAAGTTTCGTTTCCTTGCGTTTCTTGTCAATTTCATCATACACTTCGTCATATTGGTACACTGTGGGATCTTCTTCCAAAGCCTTGTCCCGATTCAACTTATCCTGTTTTTTCAAACCTTTGGATATGCCAGTTGGCTTTAGCTCTGTAGTTTCAGAATCTGAATCTTCTTCAAATATTGATGGTTTCTTGGCAGTAATTTGTCCTATCTGATGGCCGCTTTTGTTCTTATTTGGTATAATCAAGCCATACCTACAAAATTGATTGTTAGTTGTATAACAAATATTGGGGGATTAGTAAACATGACGATTTCATTATGACTTTATGAATAACTTACTGTTTTGCCATTTTCGAATGAATAACATTGAAAAGGATCCCAAACTATAAACAATTACAAAATCAGTTGATTTATGTCATTATTACGTCAATATGCGTATCCGTCAAAAAAAACGATTGTAACGATATAACGTTTCGTCACAGTCGTTACGTAACGAGCCAATCTGTATATAGTCTAGTCGATAAGAAGTATATTTTGATGTAAACGTATTTAATGGGCGACAAAATTTGAATGTGGGAATTTGTACAGCTTGCACGCCAGCGGAATCTTCTATGAAACAAGGGCGGATCCAGGTTTGAGTTAAGGGAGGTCACAGTGCCGGATCGTCAGTCGTTCCTACAATTGTAGGACGCCTGTATGGCCTCCTTCAGCGCTCTATTTTGAGGTTATGTTATAAATATCTATGTTCATTTAATTGTTCATGCTTTTGATTTATTATCATCTGTTTTCTATTCGTCAACTGTTGAAATCTGGAAATCGGGGTGGACGTAAACACGTAAACAAAAAAGCTACGTTCTCACGGGGCAAGTGTGGTATGCTTTCGATCTCTCTTTTGTGAAACGTGTCTTGAGTGGGGAGGGCAAAGTGAATCAGCGTTGGTCGTGGACAGTTCACACGATCACGATTCGCTTATTCCATAAAGGAGCTTCTGATTGATATTTGAGCTCTTTTGAGTTCAGATTTTAGTGGCATGTTAGCGAAAATGTTGGGTCACGTGGCCAGATAAAGAATACAAGAAAAATCATTGTTGGGTCTGGAGCTGGATACGTGCATGAAGAAATTTGGAGCAAGAAATGAACTCGGTGAAGATTTTAAAAAAGTAGCTACAAATGTCTGAAATTCATCAGTTTCGCTTCCTTTGGAACGGGTTTCGCAACATATTTTAAAGGATTACGATCTGCTGCGGTCTAGACTGGCCATCGGGAGAGAATCAACGCTTGGTATCAAACACGTTTGATTATCAGGCGTAGTCACGCTAGACTTGAGCGAGGCATATGTCAATTACCACGTGGTTTTCGATAGCTCATGCTTTTTCTTACAATGTTTCATCCGTTCAAGTAACTCTCTCAACCTTTTCGATAACATAGCACAAAAAATTCAAGCCAAAACTGCACAGCGTTCAACCAAAAGTTCCTTCTTCAAGGAATGAAATGAATCGTGACCGTGTGAACAGTCTACAACCCTGGCTGGTTGACTTTTCACATTAGCCTCGTGGAAACCTGGCTCAACGCCGACCATGGAGGAGCTTCTGGTTGAAAGTTTTGCAGTTTTGAGTTCAGTTTTTAGCGCTATTTTAACTGGTAACTCTACTACTCAACCAAATTTATTTCTGTCACATCATCTCAGATGTATACTCTACAGAGTATCTCGGTATTCTACAACCAAGGAAGCATGCTGGCGAACTGACTTCCAGCATCGTCGTTGAGCATCAACTTTAGCAGCTATACAGTAAGCAAGTTGACATTTTCATTTTTTTTACTCTATATGGGTTTTTTACGTAATAACCCTGCTGATACGACTTCCGACAAAACTCTCCCCAATAATGATACTTGCACCTGCACATGTCTTGATGTAAATGAGGTTAAAATTCATCATAGGTAAATTTCACGTTTATTTAAAAAAGATAAATTGTTACATAGTAATGAAAATAATCAAAATCTAATGGGGTTGCACAAATTAAACTTCTAGCATGCCTTTTGAAATACCGCTGTGAAACTATGATAATAGTAATAAATATACATGTGCTGATACGAATGAAGCTAAAATACAGGTACATATAAATCTTCACATATGAAAGGAAATAACCTAATTTTAAACATCGAAAAATGACTAAGCACAAGACTAACTCTCCCTAATAAAACATTTTGGATTAAGCTAGATTGCATATATTCATCTTTTGGAACACGTACAGCTTAGGAACGATAATTATGATCTGATTAAATCACATACATACATACATATAGGCCAAGCTTATAAAAAAGCGTGTTAAAAACATGTTTAAAACACCTTCTGGTCAATATGTAGGCGTAAACAGTCAAGATACGACCTAGCGAAATGAAAATTCGGTAGGAACACGTCAACATACATGAAAAAGTCACTTTTGAGACATTTTGAAAACGTTCCAAGTGAAATTGAACCGAGCAACGATTTTCCAAAATTGTTCATCTCACAAAAAATTCCGGGTACATAAATTAGAGTTAGATAACTTGCCATGTAACAATTTTTCAGTATCATAATATGTATACCCTATTTCACGAGTATTCATCACGCTTTGACGTCTGCTGAAGTGAACAGCTGATCAGCAAGTGACATTTTTGTGTTAGTCTGCAAGGTTGGCAATAATGGATCGTAGTAAAACCTGTTTATAGCCTTTTGTTTGTTGTATGCAAATGAACTTTTCTAAATAAAAGAGCTGCAAAATTAACCTGTAGCGTACAAAAAGTCCAAAATAAAATTCGGCTCTGTCTACCTGGCGTTGACGGATCCGTCAGAATTATGTGTCCTGAGCCGATATGGGGAATTTTGAGATATTACTAGATAATCAGCTGTCATTCTACCATGATGGATACTCGTTAAATAGGGTAGGTACAAGAATTAAAAAAAACTGCTTATAGGTGACATTTTTCCAATACGGCGATGTAGGGAGAATAAATACACGTGGGAAAATGACACTTGAGAAAGAGCACGTCAAAATCTACACAGATACGACTTTTTAAAACTGCAACACGATTGAATTTACAAGCATTAAAATTCCTCAAAATGGGTACATTCGTTTTACCAACGGCTTCTCCACGGTATTTGCAGGATCATATCCTCATGTGCAGCTGGTATGTAAATTTTGGTCCGAGGGACATGGGAATCATTATGAATTACATAAATCTTAGCTGAACTGGCTGCCTTGTATGTATCAAATATCTTTTAAGTTTCAGAATTCTGTTGACAAGTTTGTTTGCGCGCGGCAATAAATAGGAATATCAAGTTGGGATGTTTTTGGAAAAACCTTTTATAAACCAAAACAAAATTCGTCTACCTGTCTTTGACGGATCCGTCAGAATTATGTGTTCTGTGCCGATATGGGGAATTTTGAGATATTACTAGATAATCAGCTGTCATTCTACCATGATGGATACTCGTTAAATAGGGTAGGTACATGAATTAAAAAAAACTGCTTATAGGTGACATTTTTCCAATATGGCGATGTAGGGAGAATAAATACACGTGGGAAAATGACACTTGAGAAAGAGCACGTCGAAATCTATACAGATAAGACTTTTTAAAACTGCAACACGATTGAATTTACAAGCATTAAAATTCCTCAAAATGGATAATGGACACATTCGTTTTATCAACGGTTTCTCCACGGTATTTGTGCAGGATCATATCCTCATGTGCAGCTGGTATGTAAATTTTGGCCCGAACGACATGGGAATCATTATAAATTACATAAATTTTCGCTGAACTGTCTGCCTTGTACGTATCAAATATCTTTTGAGTTTCAGAGTTCTGTTGACAAGTTTGTTTGCGCGCGGCAATAAATAGGAATATCAAGTTGGGATGTTTTTGGAAAAACTTTTTATAAACCAAAACAAAATTCATCTACCTGACTTTGACGGATCCGTCAGAATTATGTGTTCTGTGCCGATATGGGGAATTTTGAGATATTACTAGATAATCAGCTGTCATTCTACCATGATGGAAATAGGGTAGGTACATGAATTAAAAAAAAACTGCTTATAGGTGACATTTTTCCAATACGGCGATGTAGGGAGAATAAATACACGTGGGAAAATGACACTTGAGAAAGAGCACGTCGAAATCTATACAGATAAGACTTTTTAAAACTGCAACACGATTGAATTTACAAGCATTAAAATTCCTCAAAATGGATAATGGACACATTCGTTTTATCAACGGCTTCTCCACGGTATTTGTGCAGGATCATATCCTCATGTGCAGCTGGTATGAAAATTTTGGCCCGAGCGACATGGGAATCATTATAAATTACATAAATCTTAGCTGAACTATCCGCCTTGTACGTATCGAATATCTTTTGAGTTTCAGAGTTCTGTTGACAAGTTTGTTTGCGCGCGGCAATAAATAGGAATATCAAGTTGGGATGTTTTTGGAAAAACTTTTTATAAACTGCTGACTCATTGTTATCGCAGGCGTAACATAATTTGTTGCAACTTAGAAACATTCTTTGTAATTTGTTTATATCATTGATGCAGTCGAACAACATGTCTATGTCGATTTGATCATATAGTAACCTAAAATCTTTAAGTGATGTTGCATATTTCAAGTTACGTAAATTATTTACAAACTCATAATTTAACCTAAGACAATTTAAGCTTAAAAATCGTAAATTTTTGCATGTCTTTAAAGTGGTTTCAAGAAAAGATCCGTCTGACAATGGTGGGATATCTAAGCTTATCTTTTCTAAATTCACAAGCATTGCAATAGAGTTATACCCCCCATCTATGGACCAATGAGTTGCACAATCGCGACAGTAGCGTATTTCAAGTTCCTTCAAAAAGTATAACTTCAGTGCTATCTGATGAAATGGATGGTCTACTTGCGTTCTTATTTTTTTAATTCTTGGTTCCTGAGATAATTCTAACTTCTCGAAACCTTTAAGAGAAAATAGACACGTTCTCAACCTTAGCCTCTTTAAAAATATACAAGCGTCAGAAAATAGCGCTTCGAGTGCTGCTTCTGAGTACGAGTATGCTTCACTGTGGTCTGAGGTACAGTGTAAAAGTACAGGATCAAAATTTAAATCAACAAATTTGATATTTTGAATATTACACTGTATTTGACTAGATCCTTTAGTACCGCAAGGCATATCACAGTCTATGAGCATCTGCCAAGCACGTTGGGAAATACCATTTGGACAAACATTTGAAGGCTTGGTTTGTGTAATTTCAATTTTTTCAACGATAAATTGGTATTGTGTACAGTTGTGTTTCCCCTTTTGAAACCAACAACGTAGTCCAAAATCATTGAGGCTATCATCATAGTGCCATGACTTAGCTACAAATTTACGTATGTTTGGTGAAACTTCTATCAAACTTTTCCAACCAGCATGAAGTTTACAGTTATCTGACACCCACAACTCTTCCAATCGTACCAATTTTGCATTTCCCCACCTTGGGTCTTGCATCCACATCTGGCCTGGTATGCAAACTATCTTCAAATAAAGTTGCTTCACATTTCCTATATCTTCAGCGTGTGCAGCTTCTTCATAGCATTGTATGTCTACATTCAGGGACAGCTTTGTTAAGTTGCGATATATTCCGAAAAAGGCATGGTACAGATCTAATCGTGTATCTACCGCATGTAGTACTTCAAGATTGTCTTTCAACCTGTTAAGTAAGCAGCATAAATCGGTCGCTGGAATCCAGTACAAGCCGTCAATTTTCAATGTCTTTATAGCCTTATAATCGAGTTTGCTAATAATGAATTCGCATAGATCCACATCGAATGACTCAAATCTCCTGCTAAAGTCTACAGTTTTAATCACCGTGGCATTTTTAAGGAAGTGTTCAAATTTTGGAAAAGCAATGCACAATTGCATCAAGTCGTATGTATCAACATATTGCAGAATTCTTACCCATATTTTATCAGGCAAAAACATTTTGCAGATACTAACTTCTTTTAGCGGCTTTTGATGGTCTGTATATTTGTACAGGTTAGCTCCGGGCAGTGTTGCCAAAGCGAAAAAGATGAATTCGGTAGTGTCACTGGAATTCAGTAGATTTAAGGGCAGTCTCTGTAAAAAAAATCAATGCTGTCGCAAGATCAGCAGTGGATCAAGTGTCTTTGCGTCACGCAGCGTCGTCCATGAAAAAAGAACCACGCAAAAATATTATCTCATCTACTTGTACTTGTACAATGAGCATACTGACTGCTCTTCAAACTCATTTGCAACCATGCTTGAAAGTCTCCATTCATGTTTATAAGATGTGAATATCTTTCTGCTTTACCCCTAATATTTAAACATTAAATACAGACGACCTTTGGTTTCCTTATTGCTTGTAAGGTGAGTATATAATAACGGTGATCTACCAGTCAGTACCTCTCTTGTACGTACAAAAGTAAGGGATATGCATACATAATCATATACACTCCAAATCTACGTCCCTCGAATGCCCAACTGCTGAAGAGTACTCATTTGTATGATATTTTTTAGCTTTATTTTTGGTTCGAGCTCATTTTCGGGAAAAAAAACTTTATTATTTTAAAAAATAGTTGTAAAGGAGGGTGTTTTCAGCATTCCTGTATATACCTTATTTCAGGAGTATTCATCACGCTTTGACGTATACTGAGGTGAACAGCTGATCAGCAAGTGACATTTTTGTGTTAGTCCGCAACGTTGGCAATAATAGATCGGGTGGTTTTATTTTAATAAAATTTTGTATAAGTACTTAATGAAGCATAATAAGTAAATGATAAAAATTTCAAAATGATTGCACTGCTTTAAAGCCCTTTGACCTTTAATAATGTGTGGATGCACCCTGATGTGCTACGCATTCTAGAACGCGCCTAGGCATGCTTCTGATCAGGTGGTCAATGTCCTCCTGTGGTATCTCATTCCAGGCAACCACCAACTCCTCTCGAAGTGCTTCTAGAGTCTGAGGAGGACGTTGCAAATTGAGCAATCTCCTACCCATCATATCCCACACGTGCTCAATTGGGGATAAATCGGGAGATCTTGATGGCCATGGTAACAATGTGACATCATTATGTTGAAAGAAGTCTATTGTGCCTCTTGCAACATGTGGTCGGGCATTATCTTGTTGGAAAGTTGGATCTGCCAGGGTGTCAAGATAGGGTAAAAGATGGGGTTCTAGAACTTCGTGGATATAACACTGCGCGTTCATGTTACCTCTGATGAAGATTAAAGGTGACCTGGAACCATAAGCTATAGCACCCCAAACCATAACTCCAACAGTGTGATGAACATGTCTTTCAACAAAAAACTGTGGATTCCTCCTTTCACCACGGCGCCTTCTAACCCTGGCACGACCATCGTGCATGCCTAAACAAAATCGAGACTCGTCACTAAAGACAATACTGTTCCATTCCTGATCCCAGAGTGACCGTTGTATGCACCACTCAAGGCGATTACGTCGGTGTTCTCGAGTTAAAGAGAGGACCCAGTGTGGCCGGTATGAAAACAAGCCAAAACTTCTCATTCGTCGGTAAACACTTCGCATGCCAATAGGTCTTCCGTGTTCTGCAAACCATTCATTTGCAATGGACCTGGTAGTGGAGAAACGGTCCCTTAAGGCCAATAATCTTAGGCGGCGACCTTCGCGGTCTGTTGTTCTACGGCGGCGTCCAGTGCCCCTTGCTCTTTGCGTACGGCCTTCTCGAAGCCATGCCTGACAACACCTAACCACAGTGTCTACACTTCTTTGCACTCTAACTGCAATTGCCCGAAAAGAAAGTCCAGCTTCCCGAAGTCCCACTATACGGCCCCTTATCAAACTCACTAAGTTGACGAAATCGTACAGGTCTCCGTACTCTAGGCATCGTAACCGATCATAAAGGATGTCAAGAACTAAAATCCGCCAACGTTGATTCTTTACTGCGGCTACTACTAGATAATATAAGGTCTGGTTCCGGTAGAAATACCGAAAAATCGGTAGGTTCGGCAACACTGGTTTCTGAGTCACCAAAACTGTTTTTTAAGCCGCTCCCACACGAGGAGGCGAATACCTTACAACGCTGGACACATGGCCATTTACCACATCGTGTGGGAGAGCGCTGATAAATTGCAAGGCTCGTTCGGGCTCTTGTCGGTAAATTTCACCTGCGTCAAAGGACGTTACGACGTTCGAAACATGGTTCGTGAAACTAATTCCACACGATGTGGCGAATGACTTACAACATTCGTCACATCTCGTGTGGGAGAGCGCTGGCATATTGCATGTGTCCAACGTTCGCCACATGGCACGTTCGGGCTCCTGTCGGTAAATTTGACCCGCGTCAAAGGACGTTACAACGTTGGAAGCATGGTTCGTGAAACCAATCCCGCACGATGTGGCGAATGCCTTACAACGTTGGGCACATGGATATTCGTCACATCTCGTGTGGGAGAACGCTGACAGGTGGCATGTGTCCAACGTTCGCCACATGGCACGTTCGGGCTCCTGTCGCTAAATTTGACCCGCGTCAAAGGACGTTGCAACGTTGGAAGCATGGTTCGTTACGCTCCCACACGAGATGTCATGTGTTTGACGGTTTTAGATTAGAACCAGTAGCGGCGAAAAACATTATTTATTTGTTTGCTGTGATTGTCGTGAAGAAGTATTTTGATTTGAATACCTATCTATTCATAATAATGTATGTTCGGTAGCTAACTTTTGAGGAGAATGAATTAATTTAGTAAACATACAAAGCATTGGCTGCCATAACAACACTTTTTTCATATTGCTAATGTTTTGTACGTTTCGCAGGTGAGTTATAGCTGGCCTAAGGATATGTATTTTAGTAAATTATAAATTATCAAATGCTTACTGTTGCTTTATTATAATGTCCTGATGCAATGCTAGACTATAAAGTGTATTTACACCCAAGATAGAATGGATGCGTGATTGCCAAAAGCAAGGACGGCGTACAGGGCCGCATTCAGGGCTACGCTAAGCAAGGTGAATACGAAAACACTAGCACGCAGTGATACAGGCGACGGTCGGTGGCCTGAATGCAACTCTGCCTGCCCTGCCCCTTGTATTCCATAACTAACGAAAAAGATTAAATAAATGATAACTCTGAACTGTGAAAGTACATACTAGGATTTTGATGAAATTTTGACCCTAGGTTACTAGTATGGAAATGACGAAAAAGCTCTGCAGCTTTGGGAAATTGGTACAGTGGCGGCGAAGTTATCGTCGAAACACAAACAAGAAAACGGTCAAACTTCGTTTTTCGACATTTCTGAGGCTTCTGACTGACTTAGGTTTTGGTCACTGAAGACAGATCTAAAATTATTTCTCGACGCTCGCAAAAATGGTTTCGCCGTCCATTTTGTATAATTTTTCCTTCAGTTGTAAACGTGTCGAACGTTGTAAACAACGTTTGAAGCATCGTGTGGGAGCCGCATTAGAGTCGCCAACACTTTAAAATGGAAATCCCATACACGGAAAGAATACCAACTCCAAGCAATTGATTTAAAACACGTCACCGCCATATCGCGATGTTCGTCCTTTCACTCATCTAACCTGGTTAAGTCTGGTTGACGCTGGTCAATTGTATGACGTCATAATCAATAACCAGAGAATGAAAATGGGAAATGCAGTGTGAAATAACAATTTAAGACTATGATGATTTTTTGATTTAAGCCTACAACTATTTGCGCTGGGCTCTCGTCTAGTCTTCTGTTAAGCCAATTTCATTACAGTACCGCGATGGTACTGAGTAGAAAGAGCTCGATATCCATTGAATGTGTGTTAGCTTAAGAGCGGCTTCGTAATTTTTACGAAGGTTAGTATTAACGGATTGAAAATTAAGGTTGGTATCCCAGAGTTAAGAGAGACGTAGAGAAACTTAAAAAGCAATTTCATGGCGCTTAGTAGTATGAAACGGTAGTTACTGTAGCTGACCTCAAAGTTTATGTTCAATGTGTGAGAAAACGTTGATAATGATTAATCATGTAATGCGCGAGGTCTGCACCGATATCAGCAGTGGATTTGGTGTCATAGGGGCTATTGATGGAACCCATACACTGCTGAGCCTTCCTAGAGGACCATGTTAGTTATATAAACATAAAAATGAACCACTTACTTGTTATGTAAGGTATGTGCACACGCGGAAAGCTTCATCTTATATTGGTTGTTTTTAAATGTAGTTGCTCTATCTCCGCTCTATGAACTTGTTTACTGAACAAATGCAGATTTCAATGCACTTAACTTTCCACGCCTAGTAACTTGGAAGTATTGTAATCGCGAAAATTTTTGTAAATGAATAATGTTTTTTGCATGTTATACAAGTATATGACAAGTGTCGCTCGGATTTCGATGAAATTTAGTTTACCATAATCGCATGGACTACGAGAGCAGGCCCACACCTATGGCCTCCTCGTTCGCCCGATATGAATCCCATAGATTATTTCCTCTGGGGACACCTTAAAGCGTTAGTATACAAAACTCCTATTGAAGGTGAAGCGGAATTACGGAATAGAATCAGTAATTCATGTGACATAATACAAAATACAGCAGGCATTTTATTATTTATCATTTTTAGACAGTTGTATTGAAGCTGAAGGGGGCCATTTCCAACACTTAATTTAGTGAAATTTTGTTAGTCTAGGTGTTAATGTTAGTTTGTGATGTTACATAACTAGTAATAAAAAATTATAAAAAAACAATTATTTCCAAAAAAAACTTTTCCTCATATTAATCGTGTGATCCAGGGATAAGCAACCAAGTGGAATTTTTTTCCCGAAGACTCAGCAAGGTACGAAAACGATTCAAGAGACAAAAAATCATATTTTTGTAGTCTAAAGAATATAATAAAAATTGCACAAAAGTCAGTGGCGTACATGTTTTTTGTCACAAAAGTTAGGGCTAAATTAGTCCCTTAATGTTATAAATACCACCGCCAAATCACAATAAAATTAGATAAAGGATATTTAAGAATTTTTTTTTAATTTTTAATATCCTGTATCTTGCGAACATTTATTTAATTAACAGCCCGTGTACACCAACG